GGGGCCGGCCCCCTTCCTCCTGTCTTTGTCTCTTTACACCCCTTTCCAAGCCTGTCCTGTCTTCTGTCCTCTCTTGGAGTCAGGGAAATCTAGTTTCAAATCTTGCCTTCACCATGTACTGGCTGTATGACTTTGGACGAGTCACTTAACCTTTCTGGGACTTGGATTCCTTATCTGTGAAATGGCAGTGATAATACCTTTGCCCCTAGGTATTTGTGAAAATCAATGTGGCATACTGCCTAGCACATAGAAGGCACCCCTGCCTTTCTCACAGTCTTGCCACTTATTTTACGTTCCACATCTCCATTGTCTTCTCTGCATTCATCCCTGACCCATATGTCTCTTTTCCCCGGATGTTCCTTTTTTTCCCTTTCTTCCCCCCATCTTCCCATCACTTGCTTTCTCTTTCTTCTTACTCCTTTTCTTTTTTTTCTCCTCATTGGTCTTCCACTTGGAGTTTTATAAGTAGTCCTGGTCATGGAAGGATGGAGAAATGTACAAAAGGGACTTATGCGAGGGAAGGGCACAGGAGGAAGATGGGGTAGAGAAAACCAGGCTGAGGGATTCTGAGAGGAGAGTTTCCTAAAACTAAGGCGCACGGAGGAGGGCTAAACAAGATAGATGGAGTTGAGATTGCAGTTAAAGGAATGGGGATTAAACCCGACTGCCAGAGAAATCTAGAAATCAGAGGAGAAGTGAAGGAAGTTAAAGTACAGAAGGTAGCTCCACCTCATCTTCAGGCCTGAAGGTCGGAGAAGAATAGGATGACCTAATGTTCCTCTTCAGCCTCCGGAAAAACCTGCGCGCCCTGGTGGTGGTCCATGCTACGTGGTATGTGAAGGCTTTCTTGGCGCTTCTTCGGCCCTTCATCAGGTACTAGCTCTGGGGACAAGGACCCGCCTTGCCCTTCTCCCCATTTTGGAAATCAAGATTGAGAACATATTGCCCCACCCTGACTTTTCCTAGCCTTAACCACTCTCTCCTTATTACATTTCCTTTTGTAAGAGTCTCCAAGAGCCCTCTTCCCAGTGTAAAACACATTTGGTTTATCCTCTCTTTTCAGTTCCAAGTTCACACGAAAGATCCGTTTTCTGAACAGCCTGGGAGAACTGGCCCAACTCATCTCCTTGGATCAGGTCCACATTCCTGAAGCTGTCAGACAGTGAGTCCTGAGCTTAAGGATAGAAGTTTGGGGTGGGACGTGTAAAACCAATTCCTACTTTCCTAATACCTTGGGAGAGAAACATAGGAACTAAAAGATAGAGCTCCTGCTTTCAGATGCTTCAGTGTATCTGGGAAAACTGCACACACCCAGAGGAGAAATTAAGGACACCACTGTAGCCAACAAGAACAAATGAAAACACTATTGTAAGTGCAGGAGTAATCATAGCACAGAATTTAGAGATTCAGACCAGCCCTAGAAATTAGGATAGGATATGTTGGCAGTTAATAGGAGAGAATATCCTATTCTCAATGGGGGAGGGGTGCAGAAAGCAAAGAATCCTAAATGAGTGACCAACTCAAGCATCCAGTCTTCCAGCTCTTCCAATTCACCTGCTTCTCTCCCCAAACCAGTGAGTAAAACCGAGGTGCTGCTCCTGTGCCACTTTATTTATTTATTTATTTATTTTCTCTCTTCTCCTAGGCTGGACTGGGATCTCCATGGCTCAGGAGGGACCTAGCATAGGACTGGAATAAAGGGCCTTAGGACCAAGAAAAGATATTGATCTGCCTACACCCTAACCCTGAAACATCTAAGCTGCTTAATAAATCATCTCATTGTCAACCTCAGTACCAGTGGATTTTCACATCTCAATGGAGTGTCATTCCTTCCACCACCCTGCCTTCAAAGCAGGGCTTTGAGGTCCTGAGTCTGATTTGCTGGGTGACTTTCATTTCAGCTGTAGGGTACATGTAGTGGCATTATGTATGGGAAAGTGCAAAACTGTGGGTTTTAGTCCTCTTTAGCTGTAGAACCTCGGCATCTCTTTGAGTCTGCCTGTCCTCTTCCGTAAATGAAGGTGCTGAGATCCTTTCCACCTGGGTATTAACAGCAGTCTTTGAGGGCAAAGGGTGCGCAGGAAGGCAGGGCTTAACTGACCACAGCCACCCTGCCTGCTGGAAGCCAGGAGTCAGCTCCTAAATCTTGAAGAACCACTATATGCCCCTTTTTTTCTGTTTCTGCTGCCTGTGAGCCTGGGAAGGAGTGCTTTCAAAACCTGTAGTTTTGTCCTGTTAATAAATTTAGATTTGTAGCGGTTAATAAACCAATGAGAGATTTAAGCTCTGGCTCAGAGAAAGTGAACTGCTCTTCCCCGACCCTTTGCATCACGAGCCGTCTGTGGGTTCGGCACGGATTCCTGCGCAGAGGCTCCCTAGGGTTTCAGCTCAGCCCCTGGGCGGCGGGAGCTCCCGCAAGACGAGGGCCTGGGGGAGGGGCGCGGCGCGCGCGTCCGAGCCCCCAGCGGGCTTCGGTTCAAACGACCTGGTGGGTCGAGAGAGGAAGGGAGGGAGAGAAGGCAGGAGCTCCGGCCTCCCTCACTGGCCTCCCTCCCAACCCCACGCCGCCTAGCCCCATGGTCCCCGCCGCCGGCGCGCTGCTCTGGGCCTTGCTGCTGAGTCTGGGGCTCCAGGCGGCGGGGGCCCAAGGCCTGACTTCGACCGGGATGCAGCGGGTCAGTTTCCGCTTCGGGGGCCCTATGACCCGCAGCTACCGGACCACCGCCCGGACTGGTGCTCCCCGGAAGATGAGGGTAACAGTAGAGGATGAGGATGACCTCGTGGCTGAGGCGGACCACCTGGCAGGCCCGGCCGCTGCCGAGCTCTTGGCCTCCACGGTGTACACAGGCATCAGCCAGTCGCGTTTGTCGCAGGAAGAGGATGGATCTTTGGAAGAGGGCGTTGTGATTGACGCTGGAAAGAGTAACACCAGGTCGGGGATTCCCAGTATGGATTCCACTACAAGGGGGTCCAGCTCAAGGTTTACAGCAAATAGCCAGGAGCCGGAAATCAGGCTGACTTCAAGTCCGCCGCCCTCCACCTGGAGGTCTAGTATGGACCTACCACCCTCCGGGAGTACCCTGAACCAGTGGTCAACAGCAGGGGCCACGCCGAACGCGTGGCCACCACCCTCGGCCACAGCCATGCCACCTCCTGAGGATCTGCGGGTGGTGCTGATGCCTTGGGGCCCGTGGCACTGCCACTGCAAGTCAGGCACCATGAGCCGGACCCGGGCCGGGAAGCTGCATGGCCTTTCAGGACGCCTTCGAGTTGGGGCGCTGAGCCAACTCCGCACCGAGCACCGGCCTTGTACCTACCAGCAATGTCCCTGCAACCGGCATCGTGAGGAGTGCCCCCTTGACTCGGGTCTCTGTCCTGACACCAGCTGCACCACTCAGACCACCACCACCACCACTGCCTCCATGCCCCCCCTCAGCGCCAGACTCAGACCCACTCCATTCCCCATGTCCAGCCCCAGTCCAGCCCTTGATTTTTGGAAACGGGTCAGGATGGGGCTGGAGGATATTTGGAACAGCCTCTCTTCAGTGTTCACAGAGATGCAACCAGTAAGTGTTTGGTGATGAGCCCCGATCTTTGTTGATGGATCTGAAGTCCTGATGTCCAAAACCCTGTTGCTAAACCAGCCAGTGTGCTTGCATGAACTGTTACTTACCTGTTTGGTTATTGATATGTATTGGTTATTCACATTATTCTTAGCCATTGATTTCACCTATTATTTCTTGAGCAACTGCTGGTTGGTTATTAGGCAACATGTATGATTGGTCATTAGACGATTATTGACCAAATTGTTAAGATTGTAGATATATAAAGAATTCTGGATGCATAGATAATTAGTGGATATAGAACATATCAATTAATAGTTTTCAGCTTATTAATGCAGCTTAACACTAACAGCCAATATTTGAGACCTTATTATGCGCACTTTACATGAATGAATTCTCACAACAACCCTATGAAGAAACCGGTGTTTACAAAGCTAGTCAGTGGCAGAGTCACAGCAAGATTTAAACCAAGTTTGATGCTAGTGCCGATGCTCTTAACCACCACTATCCCAAAGAACTGTCCTTCTGGGATTATTACCAGCAACCTAAGAATTCTCAAGGAAGGACAGTCCTCTGCTTTACTGAAAGAGCTACCAAAGGTTCTGATTGATCTGACAAAATATTCTCAACTGATAGGATGACAGGACCTTTGGGGAGAGAGGAGGACAATAAAATGTATGCTTGGTCATTTTGCCGATTTCTGTTTTTGTCTTTCCCCTTGTGTGTCCAATACCATAATTCAATACAAAAAAAGCATAAATAGGGGCAGGGGTATTGAGGGAATGAGAGTTTGTGGGGACAGGAAGATGAAGCAAGGAAGGGGGAAGAATATAGATGTGGTTATAATATTTCCCCTCTTCTCTATTTTGTTTCCTTACCCAGATAGAGAGAAACCAGAGGTAATGGCCACTTCATCTGCAAGAGGAGGTGTCGGCGTCTCAACCTCTTTTCCCATTTCAATCCCAGCACCCACTGGATATTTTTAGTACAGAAAAAGAAACCTAGAAAAAACAGTTGTTTGGTCTTGTGTCTTTTTACAGAGGTATGTGATGAAGGATAGGCCATCAATCTCTTGAACCTTAAAACTGAACTGTGTAGGCGAATAGCATCTGGCTTAGTCCCTTCCCTTGTCCCCCAGGATAAAATGTTGATGTTGCTCATCTTCCTCATTTCCAAAGCTGTTTTTAAACGAGTCCTTCTTTAAAGACTTGAAAAATCTCAGATGAATGCCACGAAAAGGGAACGGAAAGAACAAGGAGTTGAGCCCTTGGAAGATGATGGTGGTCTTCTCCTTGCCTTCACGACAGTTAGCCTTCTCTCCTTGGAAAGGGCAATGTTGGTACACAATTCCACGTCAGCCACTTTCTAGGAGTACCTTCATCAACCATATCTCTATCCTTTAGCCCAACACATACCTATAAGTGATTACTCTGTGACTATTTTGCTTAAAGTTTTTTTATTTGAAAAATGTATTTAAAAGTCCAACAAATTTTTAATATAAATTATGACTCTCAAACCCATTCCCACCACTCTAAATGTTGTAAAAGTGATGGTAGCATACACAGTAGAGAAAGTAGCTAAAGGCAAGAGAGCACCAAAGAAAAGAAGATTGTGTCCAAAGAATAGGCATTAGAATAAGGCTGAAGATCAAGGTGACCAGAGATTCCAGGACTCCCCCCCATCTTTCCCCCCTATCCTGTTAACCCTTCAGATCAGATCTAGCATAACCCTCAAGCTATTGAACTACTTTAGGGCAAAAAGATGCACTACTTTCAGAGCAACTAGCTGGACTGGAACTGAGAGTAGATTGGGAATGGCTCTGCATGACCAATCTTAGACCTTGAAAACCGCAGGAAAAACACTGAAATTTGAAAAAATTAGAACTTCAGTCACTGGAGGTGGGGGCAAACTGGATGGTGGAATTAGCAGAGTAGATCCTAGTTCCCAAATTCCTGACCCCCACTGTCATCAAACAGGATGCTTGCTTCCTGTTACCAAGCTAATGAGACCCCGCCTGTTCATCTCAGAGCAGGAAGGAGCTCATCTGTCCTGTTCTCCCTTCCTAATCACCCTGCAAGGAAGGGGCTAGAACAAAAACACCTGAGAAAACTGAAAGTGCCTAAAGACCCTGCTCCTGCATTACTTTCCCACCTAAAGCAGACTCTTCAGACGGGCGGGGAATGCAACCTGGTCTTCAGACAAAACTCCCTGAGTCTTTTTTGTGTCTGGTTCTAGGACTAGCGCACAGAAATAGAGCTTAAAATTTGGGAAGGATAAGCTGGCGTGTCTGCGGCTCTACTGCTTTTCTGTTCCTCCCTTCCCTGATCCCACCATACCCTGTTCATGCCTCCACACTACAGGAACCCCTCCTCCAGAGAACAAGAATGGAGAAGCACAGTGCACATCCAACACAGAGACATGAACCCATCCAAGCACGAGCAACACACTGAATAAAGAACTGTTTGGAGATTATGTGCAGCCCTATTGAGCCTACTTTATGAGGGGGCCTAGTTCATCCATGGCTCAGACTTATGATGAATAACAGGATGAGGGTGGGGAGGAGGTGGAAATCACTTAAGAGAAAAATATCTTGACTCTAGAGCAATGGCTCTCAACTGGGGGTGATCTTGCCTCTTAGGAGACATTTGGCAATGTCTGGAGACATTTTTTGTTGTTATAACTAGGGTGGGCCAGGGATGCTGCTAAAAACTGTACAATGCACAGGACAGCCCCCCACTCCACAATTATCCAGCCCAAAATGTCCAAAGTGCCTAAGTTGAGAAGCCTTGCTCTACAGTTTGCCCTGCTCCCATGCTGTGAGGATCTTCAGATCCCTAAACTCACAGATGATTGTTTTCAATCTATTTATCTCACTACCTCTGCCATCCTCAATGGTCAGGAAGTCCACCCTGAGACATAACTCCTAGTTTTGCTGCATTCTGAGTTTCTCTCTAGATCCCTCTTCCTTCTCTCACCTGGGCCAGCAGGGAGGTTGGCAGAGGGCAGGCCAGGTCCCCAAGACTTAAATGGAATGTCATTAGGTTAAGATCCACCTCTTATTTTAACTCTTATTCAGTGGGAAACAATAAGGTTCCTAAAAGGGATAGGGTTAAGGGTAGAGGTAGTAGCAGGATGGGGGTAATTAACAGAACTCATCTTAAATAAAATTTTTAATTAATTTAAAAAAAAAAAAGGAAAGATGTTGGGAAGCTATCAATGCTACAGAAACACGGAGTTAGAGGCCTAACTAGAGAAAGACCCTGGAACTGGCAGAGAAATATTGAGGGACTGTGAGCTTAAGGTCTGAGATCTACAGAGTAGACTAGGCAGTGGTCACCCTCCCAGCCCCTGCTTGACGTCTGCTTCAGTTCATTCCAAGAGGAAGGAGGAGAAGGGCAGGGAGGTAGGGAGCTTCTCAGCAAAGCTGGCTTCAGCTTTGGTAATCTCGCCCACCTGCCCCATTTAAGGAGTTCCAGGTGAAGACTTTAAGAACAAATGGCACCTAGACCATCATTCAGGAGAGGGGAACTCATTCCAGGTTCCCAGAAAACTCCTATCTCAGATCTGAGAGTGTCCAGGGCTTCAGCTGAGCTCCTCTGGCCAACCAGTAGTCATTGGTCAGTCCTGCTGCCTTGACCCCATCTCCAGGAGGGGCTCTAGCCAGAGGGAGTAGGGGGAGTCCAGCCCCCAAGCCTTTTGAGGCACTATTAGGTGAATAGGGGAAAGAGAGGCCCTGGGGACACTGGTTGTAGGAAGCATCTGGTGGGGGCAGCATCTCTTCTGGGCTGGACAGAGTAGGGGTTACAGACAGCAGAACCTAATTTAAAAAAAAAAGAAGGACGATCAGCCGCAAAGAAAATCTGAGGCACTGGGGAGAAGGCGCCACCTAGTACAGACTCTGAACTATTTCCACAGTGTACTCTTTTCTCTATTTCTGTCTGTCTGCACATCCCTTTCTCTCCGTCCTTCTGGATCCTACATTCTTGACTCTTCCATTCTACTTCTTTCTCCCTCCTCCCCTCTTCACTTCCCATTCTTGCAGAGGACCAGGGTTCTGAGGCAGGGCATCAAGATGTGTGGGCAGGGGGCTGGAGGTGTTGGATGGGTTTCTCTAGTCACTCACCAGTCCTGTTGGAGCTACAAGCCCCTAGAATTGCTCCATGGCCTGTCTCGGTTTCCCTTGGATCTCATCTGCTCCTGAACTGCACCTGTCTGTGAAACAGCACATGTGAGACCCCCTCCCAAGTCTTCATATGGCACAGTTAAGAGATCTCCCTTGTGCCCTCCACAGAAGAGGTTGATCCCATCTCCTTGACAATAAAATCAATCTGAAAAGGTTAAAACTAACCGCCATTCCCCCATGGGAAGTCTCAGTGCCTCCCTTCACACTGACCTTCCTGAAGATGAGATAAAATGGGTCTTTTACTAACAGATCCTCTCACAAAGGACTCTCATATTTATCTGAGTTTCACAGGGTGAAAAGACTCCTTCACTATCTTTAGGCCCATTTCCCTTATTTTGAGAGCAGAAAGGCATATGAGACAGTATTTAGGACAGAAATGCTCAGCTTTTTTCCTGCCCCAACACTCCCAATCACAATATGACTTACTATGGCACTGAGACAGCAGTTTTTAATTAATAGAAGGAACAGTTATGGTTTTTGGAAAAAGCCCTCCAAGTAACTCCTAAGACATATATATTCCCCACCCCAATGAAGAACAATCTGCTAATTGTAAAGATGAGGGAGCCTAGGCCAGAGATCTGAAATGCCAGGTCTCAGGCTTATGCAGCTAATGACCAGGACTAGAATCCTAGCTTCTCGCTTCTACCTTGACTTTTTATTATGTCCCCTGCTTGAACTTTCAAAAAGGGGAATAGTTCTACGCCACAACCCCATATCGACCTCTCCCCCTTCCCTTGTTACCATGGCAAGTCCATCTCCAGCCCCCATCTCCCCAGAGCCAATATGAGTCAGGTGGACAAAATTCATTGGTTCCCCAATCATGGTCCGGTCAATTCGCCTCCTCTTCTTCTTCTGCTTGGAGAAAATAGGGGAGTTATGTCTCAAGCCCCCTCCTCCAGTCACAGTGGAGGAAGGGAAAAGGCTTGCAAACCACTAAGGGAAAAGCTAAGGGTCTGATGGGAAAGGGGATGTGGCATTATAACAGGGAAATCACTAGGGTATGAAAGGCAAGGCTGGAACAACACAAACAGGGAGGACACAGGCAGGGTGGTGAGGGCAGTGGCCTGCAGAGTGAATAGTGGACAAACAAAGGACATGTCAATGTCACCTCTGGCTGATGAGGAAACAATGGGGAAAACTGACAGGTATTATGCTCCGCCTATACCCCCTACACACCTCAGAAGGGACAGGAACAGGAGGTGACAGGTAGGACTATTCACTTCTTCCATCGCCCAGTCCCCTTTATTCCATGTACACCCCTGCTTGGCCATAGAAACTATCCTGACAGAAGGGAGGCAGGAAGTGCGCTTTTGAGACGGCAGCTCCTAGATGGTATGTCTACTTCACAGTATACGGTAACTGATTTCTGTGTGTGTTGGGGTGGGGGTGGGGAGACTCACCGGCTGGGGTTTCTCTACCACGCAGCAGCCCAGTTTGTGCCAAAATTCACTCATGTTCCCTGATGGTTCCAGTTTCACTCCTCTGCCTGAGGCCCCAGAGGGCTCTTGCTCTGTGCCTTGACCGTCCACTCCTCAATCCCCTCAGGTGTAACAACACTCTAGATTCACTCAGCTGGATGTGTCTAGAGTCCTCGGAGCCCTTAGCTGAGCAATGAAGGTCAGCGTATCTGACCTGAGAGACTAGCAGGCAGGCACAACGTTATGTCTTCCTCAGACTTGGAACCCTGGACAAGCAGAAAGTTAAGAGAGAAGAAAGATTAATGAGAAACACCCACCCCTCCTTAAGAAGCCTCCTGATGAGCCCATATCTTCTCATTCTCTCCTAAAGACCCTAGTTCTGTACCCAACACCAACCTTCTCCAAACATAAGAACCTCACAGTAGACTCTCAGAGAAAGGAAAAGAACCAGAAGGACACTAAGGGGTTAAGTAGCAGTAGGTGTTGGAACCAAGGGAGAGGAAAGGGGCTAGAAGCATTTAGGGTGAGAGGATGGGTGGGGACCAAAGGATAGTGGCAGAAATGAGCAAAGTGTGGGGGTGCTACAAGCTCCACCTCCCTCCTCCCTGGGTTTGGGGCAGAAGGGGAGGGGCATTTAAGTGAGTTTGAAGAGGAAATGGTGGTTTTTTGTTCTCACAAACAAGGCCTCGCCCCTGTCCCTCCCTTTTTCCTTACCTTACCTTGAACAGCCAGACTTTCTGTAAGATCAAGAGAGGCCTTGACTACCTAGGTCCTAGGTGACTAACTGTAGCAGGTTGGACTTCAAGAAAGACTTTCTACAGTGAGGAATTTCTTCCCTCTTTATTCCCTGTCCTTATTCTTCCTCATTTCCCTCAACTGAGACTCAACCCCTCCTAGAAGCCATTTAACAGTTCCTTTATTATTTGACCTTGAGATCCTTCCTGAAGGCTGTATACATTCTGTTTATCTGTATCCAGTATCACTGCACTCCAGTGTGCGCACATTTGTTTGCACATATGTGGCATGGCCACACCTCCATGTATGTGTGTCTTGTATAGATTTGTGCACAGGTTGTGGGCACATGTGCCAGGTATGTTGTGTCCCATGAGGAATCTTTTTCCAGCCTCCCCACCCTCTTCACATGTCCTATCATGCCGCTCTGCTCTGCCTCACAGCCCATAGGGCCTGGGCCTCCCTCCCTCTTTCCCTCCCTCCTCCCCTCATGCTGTGACCTGTTCTCTCCTCCCTCCTTACCACTTCCACCCCCAAGATGCATCAGCCAACCAGACACAAGAAACCTTCCAACAGCATTAGTGTCCCAGGAAGAATTTTCTCCCCTTTTGTTTATTGCCCACCAGGATAGGGCACCTCTGGGTTTCCTCTGTTCTCACTGCATTTCCCCAGTCCTATAGTATAGGCAACCTCAAAGATTCCAAACAGGGCAGTTTCATGAATATGGCACTGTGGCATGAACAGGAATCTCCCTTCCCTCCAGACCTGGAACTCTAATACTCCGGCACACTAGACTGATCTAAGAACTGAGAGGGTTTTTTTTAACAGCCTTGAGATGAGATCACACAAACACTGAGATACAGCTTCTAGGGGAGGGAAGGACCCAGGAGTCTGAGCTTTCTCTTACTTCCCTTCTCACCAGTGGAGGGGAGGAGTAAAGAGACAAGGCGGAAGTCAGAACGCAGCTGTCCAGAGAGCGAGAGCTGTGGTCAGTGGGGAAATCAGTCAGTCACAGGGTTTGTCGTGATGGTGGTGGTGGCGCGTGGTAAGGGTTGGAGGTGGGGGAATGAAGAAAACAATGAAGAATCAGAGGAAACCCCCAACACTACCAGACAGGCTGCACTGAGACTGCAGTCTCCCCCAGCACCCCCCCTGCTCAAAGCTGAGTGGACAGAAGAGGATGGTAGGAAGGGATAGGAGAGAAGAGGGGGAGGAGGAGAGAGAGAGAAAGGGGCAGTGGAGGGAACAAGGACGTTTCTGTTCCTTTTCTAGGGACCTGGCCAGAGCTGGGCGGAGGGAAATTGTGTGTGGGACTTGGCACGAAATGACCAATGATGATGAGAAGTGACCGGGAAATTCCATTCCCTAGGACATAGGACAGAAGGGTCTCCAAAACTTGGGGGTGGGGTCAAAGTGTGGAGAAGACTAGGCAGGGTGAATGTGGGGGGGTGGGGGAACAAGGCCAGAAAAGGAAGTAAGAGCCATTGGCTGCCATTCTCCTTCTTTAAAATATCTAGAGGAGAGTGGGTTGAGGAAAAATGAGACGTGAACTGGTAAGCCCAGGAGGACGAGGCACGCGAATCCACTGCCCACTATTGTAACCCCACTGTGAAAGGGAAGGGGCTGGGAAAACAGCAGCAGGGATCAGGATTAGATCGCATAAGGCCATAACCTGACAGCCAAGTAGTGCTGAGAACTGGGCCTGAGTCCCAAATAGGAAGAGTGAAATATGGGGAGCTGGGAAAGACACCAAGGTCATACAGGGGCTTAAGAGCTTCAGAACTGTTGGGGAGTGAGCAGGAGAAGGGATGGGAGAAAGGTTCCAGGGAGGAAGATGTACAGAGGTATTTCCCTGGTCCTGTTCTAGCCCCAAACCGGTTTTCCCGGTCCCACTGCCTCCAGCCCCAAGGCCTCCAACCCGCTGCCTGACAAGCCTTCACAAGAAGCAGCTGGAGAGAAAGAGAAAGAGGACTGAAAGAAAGGAGTGGGCAATTTGGCTATCAGCCCAGGGCTGCAGCTCGTCCCCTGTGGAGACCTCCGGACACAGAGGGCTGCTGAGGGGCCCTAGAGAAGTTGAGGTGGACCCCACTTTTCAGTCAAGTGAAAGGCATTTGCCCAGCACCAACCGTGCCCTTCCCAGGGAACGGTCTGGTGAGAGCTTAAGAGGAAACAGAGCTAGGCCCCAAGCTCCCGCTCCCCCTCCCCAATACATTAAGGCACACAGACTCCATTTCTGCCCACCCAACAGTACCCAGAAACTCTCTGCTCCTCCCAACGCTGAACTAGGATTGGGATCTCTCTGTGAATCTTTCGAACTCTGCCACTGTCCTCCCTGTCTGGCCCGGTGTCTCAGATTTAGACCTTCCAGGACCCAGCTTCGCTTCACTTTGGCACAGGCCACCACCGGGGTTAGTGAGTCTCGGAGGAGCCCTTCTCCCCCTCCCGCCTCCCTCCGCCACTCCAGTCCCTTCCCTCCCTTCTCCTCAGCGGCCTCAGCCTGCGCACCGCACCAGCGTGGCTGGGGACTGGTACTCAGGGAGCGCACCCCGTTCCCACCGCCCCAGCATCTCCACAGCCCTGGACGCCCTCCTCCCCCACCCCCAGCATCCGGTGCGTCTCCGCCTGGCTGGGCAGGCGGGGCGCAGCGGCCGGGGAACCGGCTCCATGGCCTCACCTGCTCCGCTGCGGCATCGAGGCGTCCGGCTGCGCCTGAGGGGGGCTCCCGCTCGGTGCCCGCCAGTGCGGGGTTACCGGGCTCGCTCCTCGGCGCGGTAGGGGAGCCGAGGGCGGGCCGGCAGAGGTGGAGCTGGCTGCGGGCGGAAACGGCGGCGACGCGATTACGAAACCCGTCCGGCTAGGAGCTGGGCGCACAGCTCCCCCACGGACTGCTGAGGCACTGCATCGTGCAGGGCCGTGGGAGGGGGGCCTCGGCAGCCCCCGAGGGCCGCCGCCCCTCCAGGGCGAACCGCGGGATGTGGGCCCCTAGGGGAGGGCCTGGCTCTCAAGATGGGCCCCCCGGAATCGTTCCCTTTGCGCGCCAGGCATTGCGGGGAAAAACGAGGCGGAGCCCCCAAATCCCCCGGACCCACCCACGTTCAGAGATTCACAGACGCCCCCCCCCACAGACGCCCCCCCCCCCCCCCACTCCCCCGGCTCAATCTTCTTGTGCTCCATCCAAAATGGAATAGGACTAGGTTTCTTTACCCATTGTGAGGGCGGGGAGGAGTTGGGATTGGAGGGAGGGATGGAGAATTTTTCTGATTCTCAAAAACACTTCGTAACGTGAAATCCTTAAATTGCGGAATAAAGGATCACTCATCCATTACTGTCTAGAATTAAGATTTTTAATCCGTAAGCTTAAAATTAGAGGACAATTAACTGCTCATTCACTGCACACTCGGTCAGCATGGGGGTGCTGGAAGAGCTCGGTAATAATTGTGCAGACCAATAAGCATACGGAGATGTTTTAATCCTGTCTCCCTCCCTAAAGTGTTCTGGAGCCTATCATTTGAATTAGCCGAGTCAGGCAGGGAGGGGGCGGGGAGTCCTTCCGCCCTTCTTAGGAGGGGCTGCATTGCAGGGGGAGACAGAGCAGATAGACTCAGTCACTGAGGAGGGAGAGGGAGTGAGAAGACAAAGCCGTCAAAGCCCCAACAGCTTTCCTTTTCTCCAGCCCAGAGCAGACACCGGAGCCCCCGAGGTACTCCCTCCATCTTTGGAACACGCTAGTAATTCATTGATAACAGGTAAACTAAACTGAGGAAGGGGGACGGGGGCTGCAAAGGTAGAACAGCTGCTTCTGGTTAGGTTGAAGACCCCAAATCTGGATGAGGTTGGGGGACAGTTCAGGAGGAGAATAGGTGGCGCTATGAACAATGGGTAGTTATTTGTTCCCCGTTTTACATCTTTGCTAAGATCTCCATCCATGCCTCATAATCCTTTACATAGACATTAATTTCTAACAATTTACATGTACTTATCATTTCTCAGCATTTATCTCCTTATTTCAAGTATCTATTTGCTTATAATTTATTGTCCTTTGTATTTTATTATCTTCAGTCTAGTTATATATCTTCTTTTTCAAGCTATAATTTGTTCTACCAATTTTTTTATGAAATCTCTAGCCCTACTGCATCGTTCTAGCCTCTATTCCCAATATTTCCAGTTTTTTTTCTGTGGTGTTCCATTGATGTGTCTACCCTCACCCCAAACTTCTTTGTCTCTGTGAGAGGGAGTCTGGGGGAGGGATATGAGATAATATTGAGAGTAATCCTGACTTCTCTTTTAACAGTCTCCTTCTGTCCATCTCAAACCTTAGCTCCAAAGAAAGAAGCCACTTGAGGTAGCAAGGTGGGGGCCTCTGTGTTGGAGAACTGCCTGATCCCATATTGAAATCAGTACAGCCCACAAGAGCTAGGTATGGGGGCAGATTCTGGAAGAGGAATGCTTATTTGCAGCTCAGTGGAATAGCTGGGGGAAGGACATAGCTAATAGGAAAATCCAAGCCCAGAATGAGGCACATATAATGAGATGCCAGAGAGCTTCCATTCCCCTCCACCACCATCTCTTGTCCTTCCTCCCTATGGTAGCAGCATGACACAGCAAGGCCCTGTTGGGTAGGCCCTGGATTCCCACAGAGGGTCTGGACAAAAGGTATTTGGGTGTGTCTGTGCACTTCAGAGAGTGTATCTTTTTATACTATATATTTGCTAACCATGCTATTTCTAAGAATAGACAAAGTGATATTTAGAAATTACCTTTGCCTAAAATATCTGGAAAATTTAATATGAAGGATAGTGGGATGCATTTATTGAGTATATATTGTACAAGGCACTGTCCAAGCCCTTTAAGATAAGTAATGAGAGATGTAAAGATAGATGAGGTATGAGCGGAAAACATTTAAGGAGGGGAAGAGAAAGCTAGCTGAAAGGGACCTCTTGCAAAATTTGGGGACCTGAGAATTAAATCCATATTATATTAAATAAAAAATTGTCATTACTAATGAATGTAATGTAAATGGAATTTTAGCTTCAATTTTCTGTGTAGTCAATGTTCTTGGCTTGATTTTAAATGCCGCATATGCTTGTGTGAGTGTCTTTCTAGAATGCATTTGGTACTTTTGGTACATGTCTCTGAATCAATGCATAGCTAGAGATTTTAGTCCTTTTAAGTTAATATTTCGTAAAATTTCCTTTAGCTTTTTTAATTGCAAGATAAGCTCTGCCAGACACTCAGGAATTGTTTGGGCAGTCTTTATACATACTCTGGTTGGAAGAAAAGCAGTCAGTTTGTCAAAGAACTTTTTCTTTTTCTCAGATTTTAGCTTGCTCTCTACTGCCTTTTGCATTTTCACCATTCAGATCAGAATCACAGGAATAAGCAACACTTAACCCACTGAATATCTGTTCTTCAGGAACTAAGAATTCTTGCAAGTTTTGAGCATATTGGTACAGGATTATATAAAACTGTAGGCAACTATCTATGTACAACACATCAAAAAAGGACCAGATTGGGAATTATGAGACCTGGGTTCTATCCAAACTGGCTAGAAGGCTTCACAGGTCAACAGATAATTTCCAAGGTGTTTTCTAGTTTTAAAATTCTATGATTTTTTCCCCTATGATTCTGTTTTTTAAAGAGCCTGTTATGTGCCTGGCATTATACTAAGCTTGCTCTGGAGGGGACTGGTAAGGAAGGGGATATAAAAGAAGCCAGCTAGGTAGGCAAATAACTGGTAATATTAATTAAAAATCCCTATGAGTAGAAGTCAGTAACACTATTGACTCCTAAGGTTTGCTTCTTAGGATCTCTGTAGTCCCAAACCTAAGCCAGGGTTGGTTGGTTGATTGGTACAACCATTTTTTGTAGCTCTCTTTCTGTGCACGTCTCTGCAAATTACTATGGAGATGATCAGAGCTGAATATCATAGGATGATGACCTCACCTTTCCAACACGCTCCCCCACCCTGTTCCAGTCCCCACATCACCCTCCTTCTAAGCAGCTTTTCTGCTGAGTAATGCTCAGTTCCCAGGATTTATTTTGGAGCTTGAACCTAAGAAGAAAAAGAGCAACTTAGGATTTATTTTTAACGTTAAAAACACCCTAGTCTACCCACTCACCATTCCTAAAGCCCCTACACTCTCGCATGACCGTGTTCTAGATTAAGGCTTTCTTTTTCTGCCTTAGTAGAGACATTTCACATTATATGGGGTTATACTTCCCTTAGTGTAGTGTTTTTTTTTTTTTTTAAAGATTTTATTTTTTTCCTTTTTCTCCCCAAAGCCCCTCGGCACATAGTTGTACATTCTTCGTTGTGGGTCCTTCTAGTTGTGGTATGTGGGAAGCTGCCTCAGCGTGGTTTGATGAGCAGTGCCATGTCCGCGCCCAGGATTCGAACTGACGAAACACTGGTCCGCCTGCAGCGGAGCGCGAGAACTTAACCACTCGGCCACGGGGCCAGCCCCCTTAGTGTAGTGTTTTTCATGTTCGCCTAACACATTATATGGGGGCATTTTGGAACCTATTTAAGGCCACAATTTAGGAGTCTCAAGGCCTGGTGAGAGCCAATGGAGTGTGTTGCAAGGCCTTTTGAAACTAGGGTTCTATTTTTGGAGGCGGTGGAATGTTCTACTCCTTTGGGAACATTTCAACTAATGCTTTTGCCCCTTCCCGAGGCTAGTAAGCAGCAGGGTGGAGGCTGCAGGGAGGTGTAAGAGTCCTAACATCAGGGTGTGGGTGGGATGAGCAGAAAAGATGATCAAAGTACTCATTAAAGCATGGAAAAGTAACTAATTCTGTTAAAGGACTTTCTCCTTCCAATCTAAACTTTACTTTCCTTACCTGGAATTTCAATCCATTTGCTCTCACTATCATCAGGTATATTTTAGCATTAGAATCAGAGAAAAGAAATCCTTTTATGGCATAGAAAAATACTTTTAGCACCTGGGTTTTGGTCTGAAGGAGAGGTATGCTAGAGAGAAACAGATAGGCTGTTAAGGCTTATCTGTGGGCTAATAGATGGGAGTGGCAAGGTATTCATTGTATTAAATAAAGAGTGAGGGAAAATTAATCAGCAGCCTTGAATGTCTTGTGCACAAAGTCTAGCACTTGTGAAGAAGGTACAAAGTAGACCGTTTTTCACCCTTGGGGAAACTCAGCCTTCTGAAGGAGATAAGACTATCCCTATACAAGACACATAACAGTCATCTGTAACCCCAAACTGATAGAGCCAGGTAAAACTCTACAGGGTGTTGGGGGAGATGCTGGAAGAAATAAGGTAGATGGAGCTAGAAGTTTAAGGAAGAGGTAAGTTTATAGTAGGATGTAGAAGGCAAGGAGGAAAATGGAAAGCAGAAATGTCATGGGAACCCTTTTCAGAGGTATAATGACCTATTAAACCAAAGGCTGGAAGAAATAAAGTATTTGCAAATATAATAGGAATTCAGGGGAAAGATTCCTCTAGGGACGTGAATGGAGTCTTGAAACTTGGGTAGTATTTTAAGATGCAAAGTGGAGAGAGTTAAGCGAGACAGAAATGAGCATAAGTGTTCCCATTAGGAATAATGGGGCCAGATTCTGGAAGGTCTTGAAAAACAGACCCAAGATCAACTTGGGGCAGTAGGCAGTAAATGGGTCATTCCAGGATGGGGAGACATTAGGAAATGATAATACAGGAAGAGTTCCCAAGGCTTGTCCTAGGGAACTTGGATTATGTGCAGAGGCAAATAGGGATGTAAAGTTTCTAAGTAAGGAAAGGCCATGGCCACAAAGAGGTTGCTATAGCATTAAGACTGACAAGTAGGAGCAGGCCCTGTGGCCGAGTGGCTAAGTTCTCACACTCTGCTTTGGCGGCCCGGGGTTTCGCCGGTTCAGATCCTGGGCATGGACATGGCACCGCTCATTGGGCCATGCTGAGGCGGTGTCCCACATAGCACAACCAGAGGCACTCATAACTAGAATATACAACTATGTACTGAGGGGCTTTGGGGAGCAGAAGAAGAAAAAAAGAAAAGACTGACAAGTGGTTTCTTTGTAGGAAGTTATGAGAGACCCTGTGAGTAGCCAGTACAGCTCCTTTCTTTTCTGGAGAATGCCTATTCCAGAACTGGATCTGTCGGAGCTGGAAGGCCTGGGTCTATCAGATACATCCACCTACAAGATCAAGGACAGCAGCGTTGGCAAAATGACCGGGCAAGCGACTGAAGCAGAGCAGGAGAAAAACCCTGAAGGCGATGCCCTCCTTGAGTACAGCACCTTCAACTTCTGGAGAGCTCCCATTGCCAGCATCCACTCCTTCGAATTGGACTTGCTCTAAGCCCAAGACTTCTCTCTCCCACAACCTTGCCCTCATTGTCTTCTCTTTCAAGCCCCTTCCTTTCCACCCTTCTCCCCTTTTAATCTTGCTCTCTCCCCTCTATTGTATTGAGGTGGTGCTGATGAATCTGCCAGAGTTGTGTTGTGTTACTTATTTATTTATTTATTTATTTATCTATTTATCCATTTTTCTTTCTTTCTTACCAGTTTCTCTCAAAAGCCCTCAAGCCACAAAGTAGAGGGTTCAACCAATGGAGTATTGGGTCACAGGGATTCCTCCTTTTCCCCCCAGATATTAATTTCAGAAAACAGTCTTGATGGGGGCACTACAGAGTAGTATAGTAGTGTAGTAGTGCAAAATGGAGGACTGATTTTTCACTTCCTTTTAATCTGCTTCAGAGATTGTTCAAACCTTCCTAATTTCCTGCTTCAGGCCAGTAAACACAAATATTTCTTCAAGGGTTGGTGAAAACCTGTTTTAATTTGAGATTATCTTCTACAAGACAGGATTTCTAAAAGGCGAAGGTGATAAGTAAGAATCTTGCTTTTTTGATCTTGCTCCTTCTTGTAACACTCTTTTCTCAGAGAAATTGGGAGTAGTTAAAGGTATAAAACAAGAGGAAATAATACATCATGGAAAATGAAAACAGGGGAAAGCACTGAAGCATTTTAGTAACAGCTACGCTCTTTCAAAAGGGTATTGCTTCTTCAAGCCTACTCACTTTATAACTTTGCTCCTGTGGGTTGAAAACTCTAGCTGAGGAAAATCATTCCGATTTCAAATCTTAAGATGTAATCTTGCTGACTGTTATGATAACTTCTAAGGTTTTGATTCCATTTCTAAAAGGAAAGCGTTTGGTTCCTAGTATTTTAGTCTTGTCCTCCTACATTCGCAGTGTATAATTCTGATCAACGGGCCTCCGGCAGTTCTTCAGCCACCTTGAGACCATGAAATGAACAATCACATTCTGACCCTGCAACTTGTCCCCACTCCTTCCCAAAATTATTGCTGCTGATTTGTGCTGCCATTTACTCATTTCTTTAATAAAGACATTCAATCCCAAGACTGGATTCTAGTTTTCTCTCTTTTCACAGGGAAGCAGTCTACACGTCAGAAATTAGCCTTGCCTTCAATTCAGCTGATGTATTTTACCTAATATTCAACTTTGAGGAAGAATAATTTGAGTAGCCTTTATACATTAATATGATGAACTTCAGATTGAACAGATAGGTAACCAAAAAAAGGGCGAAATCAACTTAAAATTATACAGTATTTAGGGAGAAAGCTGCAACCAACCACTCTTCTGCTTGCCAACTGACTATCAACATATCTGAGGTAATAATTCTAGATGCCTCAGAAGGCACCTATGGCACCAAATCTCTTCATTATCGCAGCCTAGGCACCTAAGAAAATAAACTAATTCACCCAAATATGTTACCTGCTTATTTATAACTCATTTCAAAGAAAAACTATCTGGACCAATTCACACATAGCTTTTGGGAGCTTACTATGTTACAGACACTGAGTCAGACAATGTAAGAGGATGTAAACAGGAATGAGACAAGAGTTTGACTCAAATTTAAAACAAGAGGCCTAAAATACCAATATGGGTAGTACTCGGGCACTTTGCCATAAGTAAAGATGATATGAACAGGATGATCTAGATAAGTTCAGAGGAGGAGACACGTAAATTTTCCTAGTAGGTTTTGAAAGGCCCACATCAACGACAAAAGCCAAAATCTAATAAAGAATGGAGCTGTGATTTGTCTTTCTGTTTTTACTTATTCTTGAAGGTCTTTCCCAACCTCTTGCTGTCCTTTAGTCATGGCGATTGGCGGGTGGAGATGGGAATCAACTGTTTGGTAAATAAAACGCCTAAACGGATTTGCACACTCATGCTCCATCCTCTTCCAGGGCCCCCACCCCCACCCCCCAAAGAAACGACTTGTTTCCACTGTTCGCGCTGACAGCTTGGCTCTAGGATCCTTAGATTCAGGCTGTAACCGTAAATAGGTCCGTCAGGCACCAGAGCTCAATTCACACGCAAAGCCAGGAAAGTCCCAAACAACTTCATCCGAGGTTGAGAGGGAAACAATGTTTCCCCATCAACCCTAAAGCTGGCCCCCCAAGAAGTAACAGAAGTGACGCAAAAGCCGACTTTCCCTAAGCGCTTTGCCGGGCTCCTGGCGCCAAAACAAACCATCGGGTCCGTCCCCTACCGGAACTATACGACACGTAAGCCGCGTAATCAACAGTCCTCCGCCTCGCTAAATAGTCCTGACTAGGATATCTCGGATACACAGCTTTTCATCTCAAAAGACCTTCCGGGAATTGAAAACAAGCGTTAGAGGTGCATCACCCTTCTATTCGAATAGAAATGTGGATTTTCTAATCATTTTCTCCACACAGATTCCTCCGCCAGAAATTATATCGCTGTCTTCACTTCCGGGTCCGCCATTTTGTTACCTCCATTTCTCCACGAGGGGGGGTTCAAGGCCCCCCAAATATGCATATATGAAAAGGCCAAAAAGTAACCGTCACTGACAGGGAGTCTTAACTAGAGAAGAAAACGGGACCAAACTGGCAGGCTCGGTGAAAGCGCAGCCGGCAGCGTCCCGGACGAGGTGAGAGGGAAGAAGAGATGCGTGGACTCTGGGGGGCGTCAGGGCTCGAGGGGAGAGTGCCGTGAGAAGTGGCACCGCTTCCCAGCCCGGCCGCGGACTTCTGGGTGCAGCCGGAGCGGCGCCCCTTCACGGGAGCGGGGGCAGCTGGGGGAGGGGGACGGAGAGGAAGGGGATGCTGCCGGGAGGAAGGGGAGGGGACTGGGAGGAGGTGAGGAAGGGGGTGGGTGTAAGACCTGGGGCTGGGGAGCTGGACCAAGGGAAGCCCAGGCCACAGAGGTGACCACCAGGGGGCAGCGCGAGCCCGGGCCGGAGGCTCCCCCCTGCGCGGAGACCTTGGCTCCAAATCGACTCTTCTTGCAGAAAGACAGAACATTGCTGTGAGGACCTGGAGGATTTGTGTTAGAGGAGCACACGGGGACTCTACCTCTCCGGCTCCAGTAGTAGCCGAAAGATAAATAGCGAGCTCAGGAGTCGGAACAGGAGCAGGGAAGGGCCCCCGCCTCCAGGTCTCGCACAGTTGTTTGTACAGCTGGCGGCCCAGTGGGGACGTGTGCAGTAGAAAAAAAAAAGTCGTCAGACCGTGGCTTCTTCGAGTCGAATTCTCCTTCCCGTTAGCTTTCTCCTCTGCTCGCAGATTTCCTTGAGCCCGGCGAGATCATCCCATTCTTCTCCCTCGTCCCAGAAGGACTTCTCTTTTTCTCTCTAAAATACCTGTGGAAAAGAACATTCTGTGGCTTACCTTCAACATTTAACAACGTTTCTCGCCGTCTGGGATACTATTTTCCTCCTACCGTTTGACCCCGCCCCAGTCCAGTAGAGATGTTCTTCAGCATCTTTTCTCATACAGGCTTTGGTAACAGTGAAAGAACTGCCCCGCCCAGATCCCTGTATCAACAAACGGTAATTACTGTGATAATAGAGTACTTTGTTGTCAAGAGCTCAAGCACTTCATCAATTATTAAAACACACTTCTTGAAAGGCCTTGTGTGTTTGTTTGGGAGGCAGAGTGGGTGCTTTGTTATTTTATTAATTTCCAAAATCCTAGGAGGCAAGTTAGATAAGACTTTGTTTCTTCTCTTTATATATTGGGAAAGTGGAGGCACACACAGTAAAGGAGAATGTTTTCCTTTTGTTTTTAGTAATCAGGGAGCTCAGAAGCGCCTAGACTGTCCTCTTGTCTCTTAGGCTATATCTCTTGTCTGGTGGATGCTGCCAGTGTTGACATAGGATACAGGGAGAATGGCACATAGTCCCTCCAGGATGCTGTTATTTTAAAAATACTTTGTATTTTTACTTAAGGTAGCTGCTTCAGGTTAACTCAAAAGAAAAGAGTAACTGAGAATAGGGGGAGAAAAGAGGCTTGAAGAACACTTTTCTAGGAGACTTTTTTAATATCAGGTGATGAATATAACACTCTATTTACATTCTACTCCCAAAGTTTAGCTATATCTTTTTTTTTTTTTTTTTTTTTAGGAAGATTAGCCCTGAGCTAACATCTCCCAGTCCTCCTCTTTTTGCTGAGGAAGACTGGCCCTGAGCTAACATCTGTGCCCATCTTCCTCTACTTTCTATGTGGGACGCCTGCCACAGCATGGCATGCCAAGCGGTGCCATGTCCGCACCCAGGATCCAAACTGGCAAACCCGGGGCCCCCTAAGCGGAACGTGCGCACTTAACCGCTGCGCCACCGGGCCAGCCCCTTAGCTATATCTTTGTGTAGTAAGAAATAAGACTTTTCATGGCCTTAAGAATGAGATGACAGGGGCTGGCCCCGTGGCTGAGTGGTTAAGTTCTCGCACTCTGCTGCAGGCGGCCCAGGGTTTCGTTGGTTCGAATCCTGGGCGTGGACATGGCACTGCTCATCAAGCCACGCTGAGGCAGCGTCCCACATGCCACAACTAGAAGGACCCACAACTAAGAATATACAACTATGTACCAGGGGGCTTTGGGGAGAAAAAGGAAAAAATAAAATCTTTAAAAAAAAAAGAATGAAATGACAAAGTTGGGTCAGTTACTGTTTAGTGGTACTGATACACAGACTCATAAATATAATTAAAGAAAAGTGATAAAGTTGACATATAAATGAAGGCAGACTACAGTGGAAAAAGTTAACTGCTCAAAAATATTTTGCAAGAGTTCAGGTATTGAAGACACCAGTTGCAGTGGGATAAAATTAACTTATTTAAAGGATCTTGTTTTCCAGAAGTATCAGCTTCCCAGGAATGTGAAGCAAACCCAGTTTCTCCTTAAGCAGATACCTCACCCTTCAACTGAATATTGTTTTGTGGTAGAGAATAGAGCTGAAATTTGATTATTAGGATAGTTTAATCCTGCTTTGGGCTAGCATTCCTGAACATCTCAATGTAGGGCATTCTTTCCTTTTGTGATCAATTATTGTAAAGGTGTTTAAGGCTTGGCAGTATACCTTTCATATTTACTGTAATTTGAGAAAATATGGAGTCATTTCTGATTGATATAAACCACCTAAAAATTTGTTCTTGTTTTTAACTATTGGTAATAAGAATTAAATTGAAAGGCAGTTTTGATTTTTTTGTTTTCTTTTTTGAGGAAGATTAGGCCTCCTCTTTTTGCTGAGGAAGACTGGCCTTGAGCTAACATCCCTGCCCATCTTCCTCTATTTTATATGTGGGATGCCTGCCACAGCGTGGCTTGCCAGGCAGTGCATAAATCTGCACCTGGGATCCAAACCGTTGAACCCTGAGCCGCCAAAGTGGAACATGTGAACTTAACCGCTGCACCAGCAGGCTGGCTCCAGTTTTGATATTTTAAAAGGAAGATAGCCATGGAGAAATGTGAAGTATCAGTTTTTTGTGACAAGGTTTTGCTAATCATTTTTTCTCTAGGGTTTTCTTGAGTTGTAAAAACTGACACCTAGATCAGATTAGAGAAGTTCACACTTAAAGTTCATCCTCTGCTCCCGAACATACCCATTTAGAGGGCCTGGACTGGAGCCTCAGGTATATTCATTCTGAACAGACTCCCCTCCTGGTCTCCTGTTTGAGCACAATGCTGTATGATATGGAATGGAAAATTACATTACATAGTGGCTGAATGATTTGCTTAAGCCAATGATTCTCAAATTTTCTGGTTTCAAGACTCATTTATATTCTTAAAAATTGTTGACAGCCCGGGGTTTGCCGGTTGGGATCCCGGGTGCAGACATGGCACTGCTTGTCAAGCCATGCTGTGGTAGGCGTCCCACATATAAAGTAGAGGAAGATGGGCACGGATGTTAGCTCAGGGCCAGTCTTCCTCCGCAAAAAGAGGAGGATTGGTGGCAGATGTTAGCTCAGGGCTAGTCTTCCTCAAAAAAAAAAAAATTATTGAGGACTCCAATGTGTTATGTCTATTGATATTTTCTGTTTTAGAAATTTTTAAGTGTTCATTAATTAAAATACAATAATAAATCCATTACATGTTAACATAAATAACACATTTTTATGAAAAATATATCTTCCAAGTTAAATAGTGAGAAGAATGGAATTTATATTTTTGCAAATCTCTTTAACTTCTGGTTTAATAGAAGACTAGCATTTTCATATGTATTTCTGTGTTCAATCTGTTGCAATATGTACTTGGAGAAGGGAGGAGTATTTTAAAAGCTTTTTCAGGTAATTACGGGTATTCTTCTTTGATGCTACACAAAAACTTGACAAGTGACAGTTTCTTAAAAGTTAGTTGCAATAAGGAATCTGAAACCACATCAATGAAATTTTTATACTCTGTTACCTTAAAATCTGTTGCTCTGGGGCCGGCCCGGTGGCGCAGCGGTTAAGTTCTCACGTTCTGCTTCGGCGGCCCGGGGTTCACCGGTTCGGAACCCCGGGTGCGGACATGGCACCGCTTGGCAAGCCATGCTGTGGTAGGCGTCCCACATATAAAGTAGAGGAAGATGGGCATGGATGTTAGCTCAGGGCCAGCCTTCCTCAGCAAAAAGAGGAGGATTGGCAGCAGATGTTAGCTTAGGGCTAATCTTGCTCAAAAAAAAAAAATCTGTTGCTCTGTCTTTCACTTTGAATGAATCTTTTTACCCATGTATGATTTTATAACTTGCGTTGATCATTTGGAAAATGTTGGGCTTCTGGCGACTCTGAAGCTGGGGAGATCCCAGCTGGGCTGAGGATCTCACTGTCCTTGTAGCCCTTCAACCTTCCCCCAAAGCCCCTCAATAAAACGGCTTGATCCCCGAAAAAGAAAAATATTTGTTCACCAAATTATGCAGATCATTGAAATGTTTATCCATTTTATTATACAAGTACACTATAAAAAAAGCACATTCGTTAGTATCACCACTAATTTCATCAGAAAAGTTTGTAGTAAGCTATCAACTTATGGTGATAGATATAGGTTTCTCAAAATTCTAATTTTTGCTTGAAAGCTCCAATTATAATTGATAATTGGCAATAAATACTGTCAATTGTTTTCCTTGAAGTGGCAGGCTCATGTTCATTTTTGAAAAAGTGTCTCCTGTATACCCCAGTCTCAATATCACATGGTTTGTCTATTCATAATTCTTTCATGTAACATAATATTTCTACCCATGGTCATTTCAAAGGGATAAAATGCTGTTTTATTGATTCCTTAAGCTAGAAAGGTGGCAATGTGTTTTCACGTTACCACCACATATTTCCAAAGTATTTTTCTGGAGACTGAAAGCAAAGGAACCATTGTTTGGGTCCTGAAACGTTCCCAGGTACCTGATTGTTCGTGTTAGATGAGGTAGAAAGGCAGTGCCCTACCAGATAGTCAGCTTGAGAAGTATCCTGCATATATTCAAGTACAAGAGGTCTTAAAACATTTTACAGGCAGCTAACTTTCCTTGTGTTTAAGTTATAGCTTCCTGAAAACTTTTGTTCCTATGCATAAAAATGTCTTTGGTGGACCTGGGGAAGAGGTTGCTAGAAGCAGCGAGAAAAGGCCAAGATGATGAAGTGAGAACATTGATGGCAAATGGTGCTCCATTCACCACAGATTGGGTAAACTGTCTTAATTATTCCCAGCATGTGCTATTACCAGCCTTTTTCTTAAAAGCTAAACAAACTTTATTGGTTTTTCTTCATTCCTTTTCTGTCTCCTTCTCCCTACAAGATTTTATTTCCTTTGTCTCATCTGAATATATGGTTTTCTTTTTCTTTTAGTTTTCCAAATTGAAAGAGTCTCCTGTGGATATATAGGTGGTAATTGTAAGGTATTATATACTTGTGATTTTCTATAATGCTTTTTAGAGTATTTTCTGAAGGTTTAATTCTCCCTGGAGTGTACTTGGATTATAGGCTTTTGTAATTAGCTAGAAATTAAACAAAATCAGTATAATAAGAGTGCATTTTTAAACTAATAAAGTCCTTATTTCTTTTTCTCTAAAATGTCCTGGTTAATAAGGAATGGTCTAGCCATTTTGTTTTCTTTCCCACTGTTAAAAAACATTAAAGAGGAAAGTGTAATTTCATAAGCCTAGACAGCCAGCTTGGAGAGCAGAGAGTTTCAGAAGATCCAGGTCCATCTTCTGATGTGGGTTTGGTTAGCATTCATAGATTTTGTAAGCATTGCCTTATTTTAAAAGTTTGATGAGTGAGTGTCCTCTGTTCTGGGGTGATTAGTTCATAACTTTAAAAGCCAGCAGGTTCTTAGCACTTCACAAAAAGGAAGAAAAGGAAACCCATGAGATTAGCATTTCTATAAATAGGCCTGAAAAGAGCAATGTGAATTAAATCCAGTCATGCAGAGAAGCTGAATATATGAAAAGCAAAGAATAAACGAAATAGGCTTAAAATAAAGAGCGTAACACAAAGGAGCGGATCTCTGGTCAAAATGGATGTCCATAGATAACTCTTAAAAGATTTGCTTTAAGATGATACAGACCTCCTTATTGCTATTGACACACCATTCCTAAATTTATATTGCCTCTTCATCTCATCAGTCTTTTTGCTTTGCTTTACTGTGGGAACAAACTCCTATTCCAACCAGTTAAACTTGCACCTCAAATTCCACATGTAGCTTTCTAATCTCTGCCCTCTTCCTAAGAATTGTTTTGAACCTGCGTCTATCCCTTCCCTTTACCTGACTCAGAATGCTCTTGTCTATCCATTTTTCTTTTTCTTTTCTTTTCTTTTTTGAGGAAGATTGGCTCTGAACTAACATCTGTTGCCAATCTTCCTCTTTTCGTTTGAGGAAAATTGTTGCTGAGCTAACATCTGTGCCAGTCTTCCTCTGTTTTATGTGGGATGCCGCCACAGCGTGGCTTGATTAGTGATGCTCAGTCCATGCCCAGGATCCAAACCTGTGAACCCCGGGCTGCCAAAGTGGAGCATGCAAACTTAACCACTATGCCACCAGGCCGGCCCCTGTCTATCCGTTTTTTCACCTCCTTCTAAGCCCTGCCTAAAATCATGTCCTTTAGGGGATCTTATCTGATAAGTCCACCTAACTTAAATCCATTATACTTAGCACTTATTTAATTGGTGGTATATTTGTTTGCCCATTAGTATATTAATTTTTCAATTAAACCATTTCTTCAGTCCTATCTGTCCAACCAGATTCTCTCTCTAAGGACAGGAACTGTAGAATTCACCTCTTGTTCATTTGTATGTCTCCAGTAATGATTTAGGACTCTGCACACAGTTGATATTCAATGAGTATTATTTTCCCACAGCTTGGAACATCACCCCTCCACCTTGCAGCCCAGTATGGTCATTATTCCACAGCAGAAGTGCTCCTTCGAGCAGGAGTTAGCAGGGATGCCCGGACCAAAGTGGACAGGACCCCCTTGCACATGGCTGCGGCTGATGGACATGCGCACATCGTGGAACTGCTTGTTAGGGTAAAGCGAGAATAGAGGCTGGTCTATATTGTAAAAAAGACGTCCATCTCCTGTTTTCTTACTTAACCGGGTGGTAGGAAACTAGGTTAGGAAAGATTAAGTTTAGGACAGTTTATACCATTGAGTTGCATCTCTTTCAAGAGTAATCATGGCTATGAGGATTTTTCTTCTAATTTTTTAAAGGCTAAACAGACTTTATTGATTTTTCTTCATTCCTTTTTTGCAGGTGTTCTCTGAACTTATGCCTATTTTTTCAGGCAGTCAGCTCTTGTTAATAAATGCACTGAAAATTTGTTCTTTTGCCCTTACTCTCCCATCTGTTATAATTTCCCTGTGATGTCCTTAGAAGAAGCACTCATTGAAGGCATTATGTCTATCAGCATTCAGGAGAATTTAAGAAGTGTTTTTCCCTTTGATATTTCTTAAATGCGATCTAAATTTGAATATGTGTAATCTCTATGGAAATCCTCTATATTTAGTGATGGGAATCTTGCACCTGTGCTACTATAACCACTGTCTGAAAAAATTGCTTTTCTATGACAGAATGGTGCAGATGTGAATGCCAAGGACATGCTGAAGATGACAGCTTTGCATTGGGCCACAGAGCACCACCATCGAGATGTTGTGGAACTACTTATCAAATATGGAGCTGATGTCCATGCTTTCAGCAAGTTTGATAAATCTGCCTTTGACATTGCCCTGGAGAAGAACAATGCTGAGATTCTGGTCATCCTTCAGGTCTAGTTCTTTTTATACCCCCAGAATAGAATTCAATTGAAGTTAAGGATTTTTTGTAGGAGCTTAATCAAAACTGAATTTTCCTGGGCCTGGCCCCGGGGCCGAGTGGTGAAAGTTCCATGCACTCCACTTCAGCAACCCAGGTTTCCGGGTTTGGATACTGGACACAGATCTGCTCCACTTGTCAGCCATGCTGTGGAGGCATCCCACATACAAAAAATAGAGGAGGATTGGTGTGGATGTTAGGTCAGGGCTGATCTTCCTCAAAGCAGAAAAAGAAGAGGATTGGCAACAGATGTTAGCTCAGGGTGAATCTTCCTTACCAAAAACAAACAAACAAAAAAACCCCTGAATTTTCCCTGTCTTATCAAAGTAGTACTTCTAATATGTCTCAGTCTTGTGGCTCGGTGTCACTAGTATCTTTTTCTAAAAAATAACATTCTTTGAAGCCCTGAATTATTCATGGTGATTGAAGAACGATGTTGTGGCCAGTTCAAAAACAAGATTTATTTGGCTTTTGAATTTTTTTTCTCCATGAAAATTTCCCTTTCTAATTAAACTTGACTTGATACAGTATTAAAAGCCTCTTTGTGTTTTCTTTTTTTTTTTAAAGATTTAATTTTTTCCATTTTCTCCCAGAGCCCCCCATACATAGTTGTATGTTGTAGTTGTGGTTCCCTCCAGTTGTGGCATGCGGGACATCACCTCATCGTGGCCTGATGAGCGGTGCCATGTCTGCCCCCAGGATCTGAACCGGTGAAACCCTGGGCCACCTCAGCAGAGTGCGAGAACTTAACCACTTGGCCATGGGGCCGGCCCCTCTTTGTGTTTTCTGAACATACATCAACTGATGTGAGATAATACATAGCTCTGAAGCATATTGAGTCATAAGGAAGCCATCTCAGAATTAAAAATTAGCTGTGATGATTTCATCCATTAATTCTTAAACCAGCACTTGTATATCAGGGAACAACAGGATGAGGGATACAAAGATTAATAGGACATGGCCCTACCCTTGGAGTGTTTACAGCATAATGAAGGTAAAGACAAGAAATAAATTATCACAATACTACAGTGATAAACAGACATCTAGCAACTGTTACAGGAGTGAAGATGAAGGAGTATTAATGATGCTTAAGGCAGAGATTAAAGTAGATGTAGAATTTGAACTGAGTTTTGAAGGAGAAGTAGGCAGAGAAGTGAGAAAATGATACTCTAGGCTAGAAAAAGCAAATTGAAAACATAGAGGTGTGAAAGGACATGGAATATTCAGGAAAGAGTAAGTAGTTCTGCGACTAGAGATTGGGCAAGGGAAGTGGAGTTAGGGAGTAGCAGGAGCTAAGGCTTGAGAGTTAGACTGGGTTCTCAATGTAGAGATGTTACGTGGCTTACAAAGAAGCTTGCGCTATTTTGTGGGCAGTCGGGATCCAAAAGAAGCTTTTAAATAGAGGATTGATAGAATTAGATTTTTTTTTAAGAGGAGATTGTTTGGAGTGTGGTATGCAGACTGGAGAGAGAAAACACTTAATCCTAAAGAACCAGTTAGTGACTTTCATTGGGCCAGGCAAGAGCCAATGAGGACTTGAGTTAAGGAATTAATAGTGGAGGATAGAAGAGGCAGATTCAAGAAGGAATTTAACAGTAACCAGAGAATGGATAATCTGTTTCAACTGAAGCTCTTGGTCAAGGGGATAATTATATATGAAAAATAAATAGCCATTTCTGCTGCTTTTTCAGTGTTTTTTGTTTGTTTGTTTTTTTCCCTGACAAATGGTTCCCTATAGACTGGTTATCCTCTTCAACTTTGGATTCCTTGTTTAGAGCCCTTTCATAATTGGACTTTTTTAGTACTGATCATGTTTGTAGAAAACGGCTTCTGAAAATAAAATAATAAAGATAAGCATCTTTACACCAAAACTGTGAAAATATCCCTCGAAGCAAAAGTGCAGCATATGGAACTAGACTTTAAAATCTGACGCTCATTTATTTGCTTGTTATGTATTCTCTTAGGAATTTCTTCAGTGGCAGAATGGAACTAGTAGTTGAACAGAACTCTGGAGAATATTGTTCTCTGTAGATTCTCTTCAGGGATCTTCCGCTAGCACATTACTTGTAGATAATTGATCATAGAATATGAGTGCTGGAAATTACTTCTTAGGCCACCTCACTCATTTTTCAAATAAAAAAATAAGATCCAGAGAGGTTAAGTTAATTGTCCAAAAGTTTTTGCAAATAATACCCCTTTTTTTTTCTGAGGTAGAAATAAGGTTGAGAAAGCAACCTAACATCTCTCTTGCCCTGTCTGGAAAAAAACCCAGTAGTCTTAATGAGAATTCTGAGCTCCTTGGGACATTGTGTGCTGGAACTAGTTCTGCTTGATAGAGCATTGTGGGAGAGTGGCTGTTCAGTAACTGTATAACTGTGTAACTAAGGCTGATAAGTGTTCTGACTTTGAAATATCCTGCCTTGTTTTGTAGGAAGCCATGCAGAATCAGGTGAATGCTAATCCCGAGAGAGCCAACCCTGTGACTATGGCTGCCCCATTCATCTTAGCGCCGGGAGAAGTCGTCAACCTCACTAGCTTTGTTTCTTCAACCAACACCAAAACAACCTCAGGTAATATTCTGATAATGTGACATTATTTTAGACTTAAATTGAACAGAACCCCAGGTTTTCCTATGAGATGACTAGATGCCCTGTCTCATACCCACTCCTTTATTAAAATATTCCCCAAATAGAAGATTTATGATAGATTTTAAAGCTAATTCACTTATTCTTTCTGGGGGGAAGGAAGATCATACATAGTGATTATAAATGAGTGCTTATTGTGTTAAAAGTAAAATATTCTACAGATTAATCTGTTGAAGGGTTATGTCTGACCCCAAAATGAAAATATAAGGGTGTTTCACTATGGTGCTGATGAGGAAAATAGTTAAATATTCATAGTATAAAGAAGTAACAAAGCATGATAAGCAGAAGTGGTTGTTGGAGTGCTGACATACAAGAGATATGTATGATTATTTGAATAAAGTGTAAGAGTCTCGATTTGTTCTTGAGAACATATATAACAACAAAAAGCAGATAAAAGCACTTGGTGTCAATCTTTTGAGACGTATATGTTTTTAACACAAACATCTATCTAGAAAGGAGCAAATTGATCTTAGTTTCAACATCTCCTTACAAATAATTGTTTTACAATCAGGGAATTTGTGTCTTCATTTAAATAAATTTTCCGAGGCTGGCCCGGGGGCGCAGCGGTTAAGTTCACACGTTCCACTTCTGCGGTCCGGGCTCTGACGGTTCGGATCCTGGGTGCGGGCATGGCACCCACTTGGCACGCCATGCTGTGGTAGGCGTCCCACATATAAAGTAGAGGAAGATGGGCACGATGTTAGCTCAGGGCCAGTCTTCCTCAGCAAAAAGAGGAGGATTGGCAGCAGTTAGTTCAGGGCTAATCTTCCTCAAAATAAATAAATAAATAAATTTTCCAAGTGATTTTTGGTTTCTTTTTCTATTTCTGACTTTCTTTTTAAAATAAGCAACTCTATTCCTAGTTAAGTTTGTATAATATCACAGGAAAATCTTGAATGAGGTGTTAGTATTGAGAGGCAGTGTGGTAAAATAGAGCATATACACAAGGTACATAGAATTTTGCATTCAGAACTGCGTTCAAATACTGATTCATTAATTGGCTAGGTGCTTGAGCTTGGGAAAACTACTTACTTCTCTAAGCCTTCTTTACTTATCTATAAAGTTGGGACATAGTAATACCTACTTTATGAGATTGTTATGAGACTTTGAGATTTTGTATTTCAGTGTTCATTTTATAGCAGGACTTCAATAATAGCTAGTATTAAATGAAAATATAATTTCTCGATGAAGCTTGACTCTGTCATGCCCACAAGGGGGCAGTAGTGACCCTCATTTTATAGACTATTATTTAAAATTACTGTGCTTGGTCTTTGGTTGGATTATGCAAAAAATTTAGCTTAAATAGATGTAAACATGTAATCAGAATATTCACAGCTTTTTGGATTTGTTGTGATTCAGGCCATATTGATTAGAACAAGTGCTTTTATAATCCAAAAGTCTTTAGAAGCCAATGAAATTATATGTTCACAAACATGTGAAGAGAGCTAGAGTTGGTCATTAATCTAACTACTGAAATTCTCCAGACTCTGATCTGGAATGATAAGCAAAGTTAAGGAAATTCAGGATGGAAATTCTTAGCCTGGGCTCCCATGGGCCTATATCATGTTTGTCATGTTGCTTTTGGCAAACCTGCTCTTCCTTCTCCCTTCTGTATGCTGACAACAGCAAATTGAAATAACCAAACCATCACATAAGAGAGCTGTTCTCTCCAGTCACGTCTTACTCATGAAGCAGTTCTACCGAGCTGGCCCCCTTTAGGGGATTGGCCTACCTGATGCTTAATCAGTGCAGATAAAAGAAAGGAGAAAAGTTATAAAACAAATTCAGGTGGTGTTATTCAACTGGGTTAAAAGATATTCTTTTCCTGAATGGTGAGTGGCCTTCTTATTCCCCGTCACCCAGTAATATTTTTAAGAATTAACTGAAAGTATCCTAGGATTATCATTTTGGTGGATATTTTTGATACCAAAATCCAGATTATAAAATTCATTTGTGACTAAATATATTAGTCATCATCAGTGTCACCATCAAACCGCAGTGATTTGGGAAGGCAGACTAATTAAAACAATCAGGGCAAAACAAAGTTGTGAAGATGAATTTCCTGTTTCTGTCGAATCGTAAGATGCACTCAGAAGTCAAAGATAAATAATTTTGTGTTGGTTCATAAAGAGTACAGTCTTTGGAATCTAATGAACTAGGTTCTAATCCAGGCTCTGATATTCACTAGCTGCATGACTGTGGGCAAGTTACTTAGTTTTTCTACATCTAGTTTTGTCTAGCCTACCGTAGCACACTCCCCTAAATCCTGGTCTGAAGAGTTTATTTAAATAAGCCCTATTCTGAATAGGTAACAAGAATCATCACTGATAATGCTATTTCCCTTCCAAAAACAATAGGATCCATGCACATTTTACTTTATTTGATGTTGGGTGTTATATTGAGCAAAGGAAGCAATTAACATTATTTATTTTTTATTTTTTTAAAGATTGGCACCTGGGCTAACAACTGTTGCCAATCTTTTTTTTTTTTTCTGCTTTATCTCCCCAAACCCCCATTGTACACAGTTGTATATCTCAGTTGCAGGTCCTTCTAGTTGTGGGATGTGGGATGCCGCCTCAACGTGGCCTGACGAGTGGTGCCATGTCTGCGCCCAGGATCCGAACCCTGGGCCGCCACAGCGGAGCGCGCGAACTTAACCACTCGGCCACAGAGCCGGCCTCGCAATTAACATTATTGAACAATAAAGTACTTTATTCTCCTGGCACTCACTGGGAGAAGTCTAAAGAAGTAATTTGCACTTTCTTTTCACTTTCAACTGTGTGTATCAGAATACTAAATCTGACTTTTCACAAATCTTTTTTTCTTCAGTTTTGCTATTGAGGAGAAGTTGGGTGAGTCATGTGTGAATCAAAGGGAGAGCATCCTTAATTTGGAATCATCAAATGCTAAAAACACACATAATGCTTTTCTCATGCAGCAGTTCTGCCCAGCTGTTCTCCTTTAGATGAGTGGTCTACCTGATGTTTAGCCTACTTGAACTTTAATTATAACAGCTTTGGGTTTTTTTGTTTGTGTGTGTCTGTGTGTGTATATATGAACTCTGGCAAAATAATAAGCCTTCTTTTTTGATTGCTAGTGACTTATTGTCTCTCTTTCCAACCTTCATGAGAGATATAAATATCTAAAAGTTGCTTGTTCCTTGTTTCCTTTGTGTGTTCTTATATCAGTATTTGGTATGATAGGCTGAGTGATGAGAAAAGTATGAACTAAGCAGGAAAATTAGGGAATAGGCTGTAGCTGGATCTTGCTCTGCATGAAGTTGTTAGATAGACTCAAGCTCCTTTATGGAGGTCAAGCACTGTGTTCCACTCAGACCATTAGGTTCCCTGAGTATTTTTTGAGAGAATTAGAATAAAATAGGGATCTCATCATCATCTCTACCCTCATCCCCACTCCAACAGTCATCATCCAAAAGCTTTGATTAAGAAAGTTCATAGTTGGGGCCGGCCTGGTGCACAGTGGTTAAGTTTGCACGTTCCGCTTCTGCGGCCCGGGGTCCGCCGGTTCAGATCCCAGGTGTGGACATGGCACCGCTTGGCAAGCCATGCTGTGGTAGGCGTCCCACATAGAAAGTAGAGGAAGATGGGCATGGATGTTAGCTCAATGCCAGCCTTCCTCAGCAAAAAGAGGAGGACTGGCAGCAGATGTTAGCTCAGGGCTAATCTTCCTCGGAAAAAAAAAGTTCATAGCTATGAGGAGTACTATATAAGTAATCCACCTTTTTCTTTTTCTGCTTTTTCTCCCCAAATCCCTCCATTACATAGTTGTATATTTTAGTTGTGGGTCCTTCTAGTTGTGGCATGTGGAACGCTGCCTCAGCATGGCCTGACGAGCAGTGCCGTGTCTGCACCCAGGATCTGAACCAGCGAAACCCTAGGCCACCGAAGTGGAGCGCGTGAAATTAACCACTCGGCCATGGGGCCAGCCCCTAAGTAATCCACCTTTTTAAGGAAAATCTTCTGAAAGTTAAATTTATAAACCAATTAGATTACCTAGATTAATCATATCAGAAAAGCATTGTTTGCTCTGTGGAAGGATTTATTATAAGAACTATTATATAGAAGTTTCCTTAAGTATTTTTTTAAAGATTTTATTTTATTTTTTAAAAGTTTTTAATTTTTTATTTTTCCTTCTCCTGCCCAAAGCCTGCCAGTACATAGTTGTGTATTTTGGTTGTGGGTCCTTCTAGTTGTGGCATGTGGGATGCCCCCTCAGCATGGCCTGATGAGCAGTGCTAGGTCCACGCCCAGGATCCAAACTGGTGAAACCCTGGGCCACCAAAGCTGGAGTGTGCGAACTTAACCACTTGGCCACAGGGCCAGCCCCTCCTTAAGTATTTTTAAGTATTTTACAGATAACTGACTTTTTGATAGAAGAAAGGCTGGAAAGAATCTTTAAGCATAGCAATGGGAAAACTTAAAAATTAAGAGTACATTTAAAAAGAAGATATGTGTATCAGTCAGAGTCCAGTCAGGAGACAAAACTACATGGTGATTTGTATAATTTTATTATATACATATAATTTATAAACCTGTATGTATAATTTATAAAGAATTGTTAGTTAGTAATAGTGGATTAACTACTCAGAGGTGAGGAGAACCCTAATGAATACAAGAATAGCCAATATAGGAGCAGCCACTACTTCTGGATGACAAAACTTTCATGCCAGCTGACAAGAAATGTCTATAGGGTCCAGCTTCAGTATCACAAAGCAGGGCAAAGAAGGGTGGATTTAGAGAAAAGAGGCAATAAATTCCCAGCTGGTCCAATAAGTATCTCTGAGGGGCTGGCCAGTGGCACAGTAATTAAGTGCACACGTTCTGCTTCAGTGGCCCCGGGTTCACTGGTTTGGATCCCAGGTGCGGATCTGCACACTGCTTGGCAAGCCACGCTGTGGCAGGCATCTCACATATAAAAGTAGAGGAAGATGAGCATGGATGTTAGCTCAGGGTCAGTCTTCCTCAGCAAAAAGAGAAGGATTGGCGGCAGATGTTAGCTCAGGGCTAATCTCCTTCTTCAAAAAAAAAATTAAAAAAAAATAATAAGTATCTCTGAAATCATAGGGAAAGACATAGGGAAATGCAGTTCATTTTACTGAAGTTAGATTTATGCAAAACTGTTGAGTGGTGCTTTTGGTTCATAAAGTTAGGCATGCTTGTTGCCAGATCTAATGTACTTCCCTCTTGGAACTTAGCTATAAGAATAGCACACAGAGGGGCCAGCCCCGTGGCCGAGTGGTTAAGTTCACATGCTCTTTTTTGGTGGCCTAGGGTTTCACCGGATCCTGGGCGCAGACCTAGCACCTCTCATCAAGCCATGCTGAGGCAGCATCCCACATGCCACAACTAGAAGGACCCACAACTAAAATATACAACTGTGTACTAGGGGGCTTTGGGGAGAAGAAGGAAAAAAGTAAAAATAAATAAATAAAATCTTTTTAAAAAAAAAGAATAGCAGACAGATACAAGAGAAAAGTTATAAACAAAGTTTCTCTAAAAAGCACATCGTGACATAACTAAAGTAGCGAACTATTGTTATTTAGTGTTAATTGGTTGTACTGCCCCTTGACATTCAATAAGAGAAACATCAGGTTTTTAACTGGCCTTGCACTAGAGGTCAGTCCTATTCTCACCTGTCTAGCTGGTGAATAGAGGTAGTATGGTTGAGTAAAGTCCATGAGGGGCCTCTTACCTCACCCTGCTTAGCTTGGAGTGAGGCATGCTTTGTATGCTTATTGCCTGCTGCCCAGGAGAGCTCTGCATGGCCAGCCTAGGGAGTGGGCGGCACTCTTGGTCTGTTAGCTACTAATGCTCAGCATTGGCAGTGCCAAGAGAATGATCAAATGAGGGGAATGTAGTGGCCCTATACCAAGTATATTACTTTAATCCACTTTAAAGGGAAAACTTTTAAAACCCTAAAATGGTTTTAACAACATAATTGGTTTATATAAGTTTGTATTAGAGAGCAAGATTAAGGACATTAGAGTGAAAAGCTGAGGTTTTGATTTAATAAGCCATTTTTAGTTCATCTCAATTTAGTCTCTCCATTGGACCTCATTTGCCTTTTTTACCGAAATAGGTGACCCCAATGCCTCCTCAACAGTACACTTCTCAAATTCTACCACCTCAGTGCTGGCCACGCTTGCAGCTCTTGCTGAGGCATCAGCCCCCCTCTCCAACTCACACAGAGCCACAGGTAGGTAAGGATATCTGCTGGGTGAATCACAATTTCTTCTTTTGTTTTTAAATCTCCAGCAGATTTAATTTGCATGAAATATTAACGAATTACAGCTAATTAGAGACAGCTAGGGAAAAGGGATGTAGAGTCATTGAGCATCAGAAAGAAAAATCACTAAGTGATGTAATCAGACAGCTGAACAGTAACGGAGAATGACTAAGTTATTCCTTTGTATTTTTGCAGTTTCAAGTTTATTTGCCCTGACGCCAGTTGCTTCAGATTGAAATGTTTAGTTTTAGCTTAGCAGCTTTTTTGGAAATGCTCTGTTTTGTTTTGACTGATGCTATCATAGAATGATTTAAAATAGCAGCCTAGATATCTTGTATTGAAACTGTGTTTAATAAGGGACTGCTGCCTCTCTCATTGTCATGTCCTGTGTACTTCAGGTTGGCTTGCTTTTATTTTCACTGGAGATGTTATTTTGGCATTTCCAGTGGAGCTGGGCAGATGTATAATGCACTTCTGATATTTAAAACAGAAATATTTTAAGTCACTTAGCTAGTGGTCTATGGGGAAAAGGCTTATAGTTTCATATAGATAGGGGCAGATAGTCATAGGTAGAGCTTTAGTTATCTCAATTAGTCAATAGTCATCTAAGAATCTTTCTGGAACTCTCTGGCAGTCTGCTCCATCATAAATGAAAGCAGATTGTTCTGATTTCTTTCTGCCATTGACATTTGGGTAGTGAGAACATTCCTCCAATCCTATTTTTCCAACTGGCAGTGGTCATAAAGATCTCTATTCAGATGTGTATGAGTGAGTAGCATGGCAGAGGGAAAGGCAATGTATTAAACTTGTGCTTGTTATCCTTTTGATTTGCTCTTTGATCTTGGATAAATCACTTAACTTCTCCAGGTCTCAGTTTCCTCATCTCTGGAATGATGGTTGGATTAGATTATCTATCAAGGTCCTTTCAGATATAACATTTAACTGTTCTTTGTTTCTAAGAGGTGTGAATGCTATATTTCCATTGAACTACCTGAAATGTATCTCATATGGATAGTACGTACCTCACTTACTGCAGAGTTCTACTTGTGACTCTAGATAGAGAAATTCCATAGTAGTAGGAACTGTTTCCTCTAACAGTTGTTGGGGATATTGACTACCCAAACTAAAAATCTTGATTCAACATAATACCTGTAAAGCTCTTAAAAAGGTACCTGGCATATAGTCAGTAGTCAGTGTTTAGTTGCTATTAGTATTGTTGATCTGTCAGAAGGAAAAGCCACTTATAATTTTCTTCAATGCTTTGACTACTTGACATATTATTTTGTTAATTAACTATGCCTCCATTTTCTCATAGAAATAGATCTACTTTAATTTGTAGTTATTTTTCTAAGCTCCATAATTTATTTAGATTTTCAAGATGCGTCCTGAAAAAAGAGTTCTAAGATCAAATATGTTGGGGAAACTCAGCATATCCTTTCCCCTATTGGAGAATCATAATGCTCATTAGCCTATTGGGGTCTCTGATACTTCCTACAAAACAAACAAAAAAGTATTTTAAATACATGAAAATGTATTTGTTCAAAGAATCCATCTTTAGTGAACTATTAACATCTCAATGAGGACATTTTAGGAAATACTGTTCTAATGCATTCCCTATTTTCTTTTCTCCTCTGACTTAGCAGTGTTCACAAGGGCTTGGTTTTGTGAACTGTTGAACCTAACACTTTTTTTCAAGTTTTCCTGTCCCTGATATTATCAATTTCAAGGAGGCTGAAATTGCTATACTCCTATTTTTTAAAAAGCTGAAATTTTAAATTTATTTACTTTTGTCATTTCTAGCTAATTCAGAGGAAATCATAGAGGGAAATTCTATTGACTCATCAATCCAGCAAGTGGTGGGGAGTGGAGGCCAGAGGGTCATCACCATAGTGACCGATGGAGTCCCTCTGGGTAATATCCAAACTGCAATCCCTACTGCAGGCATCAGCCAGCCATTTATTGTGACTATGCAAGATGGACAGCAAGGTGAGTGATCCCATTCAGACAATTGTTTATTAAAAGATATTTTAGACACTCAACCCTCCTTTAAAAATGAAGTATTAAGATGAGGAGTGGGAATGGGAGAATGCCAGATGCCAGATGGGGCAAAGAAGCTCTGAAAAGGAAAAAGAAACAGAAATCAGGCTGGCAAAGGCTACTTTCCCTGATATATATAAAATTTGTGAGTAAAAACCAATAATCTGGTAGAAAAAAGAGAAAATAATATTAACCAATAGTTCACAGAAAAGAAAATACTAATGGTTCTTAAAAATATGAAAATATTTTCAACTTCATTCATAGCAAGAGAACTGCAAATAAATACTGCACTGAGATATCATTATAACACCGTGTTGTCAAGGGTATGGGGAAACAGGCACTCTTATAAATTGCTGGTGAGAGTGTAAATTAGTGCATCCTCTAAACAGGAAATTGCAATATCTATCAGTATTAAAGATGCACATACCTTTTGATTAAAAAGTTCTTTTTCAAGTTGGTGCAGTGGCATAGTGGTTAAGTTCTTGCGCTCTGCTTCAGCGGCCCAGGGTTCGCCAGTTCAGATCCTGGGCACAGACCTATACACCACTCATCAAGCCATGCTGTGGTGGTGTCCCACATACAAAATAGAGGAAGATTGGCACAGATGTTAGCTCAGGGACAATCTTCCTCAAGCAAAAAAAGGAAGATTAACAACAGATATTAGCTCAGGGCCAATCTTCCTCACCAAAAAAAAAAGTTCTTTTTCTATTAATTTATATTCACACACACAGAAATAACATACATACTAAGTAATTCATTACAGCATTATTTGTAATCATCAGAGATTAAAAGGAATCTAATTATATGTCAATAGGGAACTGGGTAAATATAATTGTACTATACACATACAATGGAATACTATGCAGCTGTTAAAAACAATGAAGAAGGGGCCAGCCCAGTGGCATAGTGGTTAAGTGCACACATTCCACTTCGGTGGTCCAGGGTTTGTCGGTTCGGATCCCGGGTTTGGACATGGCACCACTTGGCAAGCCATGCTGTGGTAGGCGTCCCACATATAAAGTAGAGGAAGCTGGGCACGATTGTTAGCTCAGGGCCAGTCTTCCTCAGCAAAAGGAGGAGGACTGGCAGCAGATGTTAGCTCAGGGCTAATCTTCCTCAAAGAAAAAAAAACTTAAAAAAGTAATTAATTAATTAATTAAATAAATAAAATTTAAAAAGAACAATAAAGAAAAACCTTATATACCAGGATGGTCTGATCTCCAAAATATATTGTTAAGTGACAAGAGCAAGATGCAGGATGCTGTGTAGAGTATGCTACATTTGCATTTTCATTGTTGTTTGTTTCTTTTTTCTGTTTTTTTTTTGGATGAACATTAACTCTGAGCTAACATCCACCACCAATCCCCTCTTTTTTGCTGAGGAAGACTGGCCCTGAGCTAACATCCGTGCCCATCTTCCTCTACTTTATATGTGGGATGCCTACCACAGCATGGCATGCCAAGCAGTGCCATGTCCGCACCTGGGATTCCAACTGGCGAACTCCGGGCCGCCAAAGTGGGAATGTGCGCACTTAACCCCTGCGCCACCAGGCTGGCCCCTCGGGGATTTTTATAATTTTCAAATTATTTGAATTGGTGGATCTTTGCAGTATGGGAAGAAAGAGTAGGAATTAAACCTTTATAATCCAAGCTTTGGTATCATAAATTATTTTTAGTTTTATTTGGAAATAGGAAACTAATGTTTTTGTGAACGTTTTATCATTTTAAGTTTTGGGGTACTCATTTGGTAGTTCTGCTTATAATGGAATTAAATAAATAAGAACAGGAAAAAATTTATTTTTTTGAGAAAAAAACTAAAATTTGAGGTTTTGTCTAGATGAACTATACTATTTTTTACGTTTAACCAGGCCCAAAGAAGAAAAGCTAAGATTTTATGCATTATCAGCAGGAAATTTTGAATCCTAGACTAAACTGCCGCTTCCACTTAGCAGACATCTAAGCTGCTTTCCACAGCCATCAACTGATGAGTACTCAAGGAACATAAGTTAATTGTTAAATCAACCAAACCAAATAACTAGGTAAATCTTCTGTTTTAAACGAAAATCATAATGTATCCTAAAACCTAAGTGTAATTTTTAAATTCTTATTTTGAGATAATTGTTAATTCATGTACAGTTATAAGAAATAATACAGACAGATCTCATATACCCATCACCCAGTTTCCCCCAGTGGTAACATTTTGCATAACTACAGTACAGTATCACAGACAGGAAATTGACATTGATACAATCCACCAAACTTATTGAGATTTTTCCAGTTTTATCTGCATTCATTTGTGTGTTTATGTAGGTACTTAGTCCTGTGCAGTTTAATACATGTGTAGATTTGTGTGGGCACTACCACTGTTGAGATACAGAGCAGTTCCCTCACAAGGATCCCTTGCGCTGCTCTTCTATAACTACAGCCACCTTCCTTCCCACCCTGCTCCTCACCCACTAACTCATCTGTTCTCTGTCTCTATACTTTTGTCATTTCAAGAATGTTGTATAAATGGAATCATACAGTATGTAACCTTTTGAAATTGGCTTTTTTGTGTCAGCATAATTCTCTTAAGATCCATCCAAGTTGTCATTTCTATCAATTGTTCATTTCTTTTTATTGCTGAGTATTATTTCATGGTATGGATATACCACAGTTTGTTTAACCACTCACCCATTGAAGGATATTTAAGTTGATTCCAGTAAGTTTGAATAACGCTGTTATGACCAATCGTGGAGTACAGGGTCTGTGGGAACATAAATTTTCAATTATCTAGGATAAATGCCCAAAAGTGTAATTGCTGGGTCGTATGATAAGTTTACTTTTGTAAGAAACTGCCAAACTATTTTCTAGAGTGTACCATTTTACAGTCCCACCAGCAATTTACGAATAATCCAGTTTCTCCAATCCTTACCAGTATTTCATGTTATCACTATCTTTTTTTTAATTTTAGCCACTCTGATAGGTGTGAGATGCATCATGTGTGTATTGTGGGCATATGTGTGTTGACCCTTTTCTCACCTATCTATGAGAAGAGAAATAATTAAATTAGACACAGTTAATGGCAAACTGCTTTCATGAGAGGTTCGTCAAAAATCTCATGTAAAGACATTAGGCCTTCTTTAGATAAGTTGTTTCTACAGAATTGTAAGCTAGCTGCTCAACTTCTTACCCAGAGTCAGACCTCTTTATGTAAGAGCCTCAGACCTGAGTCTTAACTGCCTGCCTTCCAAACACAAATCTTTATACTTCCTTTCTGAGGCTTTTTAGTGCCTCTCTAATCCTTTCTTTTTCTTTTCTTTTTTTTTTTTTTTTGAGGAAGATTAGCCCTGAGCTAACTGCTGCCAATCCTCCTCTTTTTGCTAAGGAAGACTGGCCCTGAGCTAACATCCATGCCCATCTTCCTCTATTTTATATGTCTACCACAGCATGGCTTTGCCAGGTGGCGCCATGTCTGCACCCAGGATCCGAACCCGTGAACCCCGGGCCACTGAAGCAGAACGTGCACACTTAACCCCTGCACCACCAGGCCGGCCCCTCTCTAATCCTTTCTGTTTCTCTTGCCAGGGCCATGCCTTACCTATTGATTCTAAAATCCAAAGAGATATGAACAGTAAGATATCAGAGAATATATTTCGGTTTATTTTCTAATGCGAAGCAAGCAAAACTTCTTTGTTTTACTATGTATTCATCACCTCCGCTTGGTGTCCTTTGGCTTGTAGTTCTAACTGTACCTGCTGGTCAGGTTGCAGAGGAGACTGTAATTGAAGAAGAAGAGGAAGAAGCAGCAGAAAAGTTGCCACTGACTAAGAAACCAAGGATAGAAGGGATGACAAACAGTGTAAAGGAAAGCAAGGTAATATTTTTAGCTGTTATGGAGAGAAAACAAGAGAAAGAATCAGCAGCTATAACTTTTAAGGCCCGAACACTTCTTTATCTTTCTGTCTATTCTCTGGATAATCTGTGATCAGGAATTCTTACCTGGTGATGAAATGGTTTACTTTTACAGGAAGGCACTGAAAGAGAGCTACTGCAGCAGCAGCTTCAGGAGGCCAACCGAAGAGCACAGGAATACCGACATCAGCTCCTAAAGAAAGAGCAGGAGGCAGAACAGTACCGCCTCAAGCTCGAGGCCATGGCCCGACAGCAGCCCAACGGAGTTGATTTCAGCATGGTTGAAGAGGTGGCTGAGGTAGATGCTGTAGTAGTCACAGAGGGGGAGATGGAAGAAAGAGAGACGGAAGTGACTGGGGCAGGAGGGACCACAGAGCCTCATACTGGAGTTTCCATGGAAACTGTTTCATCTTAATATGCAAGGGCCACAACTTGTACTGTGTCCATCTTTTTCCTCTTTTTAAAAGAAGATACAGAGGACAAACATTGTAGAAAAATTAAGAATGTCCTTAAGAAGAAAACTATAGCAGGGTACAATTCTTGGGCTCAGGAAGGCGCTCTATGCAACTGGAAAATTCAAAGCCAAATTTAGGGAACACTTCTTCCGAGGGACCAAAAGAATGAGAACCAAATTTCTCAGCTCACATCATTGCTTTAAGCATAGAGGTAAAAGAATGTTGGAAGTTGTGGGTTGATTGTTTTTTAAATAACTGACTTTCTATCAAAAGATTTTAAGATGACATTCCTAATATGGACACACCCAGAGCCTTTAATAATTATACCATCATGTGACCTGAAAATTTGCCTTAGATTTATGATGTGTACCGGTTAGAGAAGAAAACTAATTGGGAGAGGGGTTAGAAGCAAGCTTTGGGGAAGAGAAAGGAATAAATATATTCTGCTTCCAGAAGAGCAGGCACTACCCACTCCCCTGAGTTAATTTCACTGAAAAGAATTTTGTGAGCCAGCCGTAGCAGCATAGCAGTTAAGTTTAGCACAGTCCTCTTCAGCAGCCCAGGTTCAGTGCCTGGGCGTGGAGCTACATGGCTCTCTTAGCGGCCGTGCTGTGCTGGCAGCCCATGTACTGAAAATTAGAGAAAGATTGGCATGGATATTAGCTCAGGGTGAATCTTCCTCAGCAAAAAAAAAAAAAAAAAAAAAAAAAAATTGTGATTGCTTGACTACATTTGCATCTATTGTGTATCCATAGCTCACATGGCAGTTTAAGAAACTGAAATAGAATTTTTTAAAAACTGGAAAGAAAACTTGTTTATGTGGGAGAAGTGTATATAAATCCAAAATCCTCCGGGCTATGCTTCCACAATGCTGGAAAGTGGCCAAAAAGAGGCTTGTGGGGTTATGAAACAATCTGGCCTCAAGATACAAACTTTGCTCTGGCTGAATTTCATAAAATCGCAATCAGGAGGGTAGTCTGTTGTTAGAACAACTTGCTTCCAAACATTTATTTATGTAGTATCAAGCTTTAATATCAACTTTTTAATTTTATGAAATTTTGTTGAGTTTTCTAAGTGTGCCTTTCTGTGGAGCTTACGTGGTATCCTCATATATGCAAAAGAAGAAGTTGGGGAGAGATGAATGCTGAGGATGTTGTGTGGTTTTTCCATTTGATTTGGGATGAGTAAATTGCTATTTCCTTAAGGTCAAGCCTTGTGCAGAGCTTTTGTGCCTTATAGGTGCTCACTGTGTGTTGGCAAAGGGAGTAAGAATTATCAGTGCCATAAAGTAAGGAACCAAAGATTCTGGCCAGATACTTTATCTGCCTTAATCCCTACTCTTCCACTATTCCTGCTCCCTTTGCCTAGACACTTTTGGAAAGTGTTTCATTGCTGGGTTTTCTTTGTGTGCCAGCTTGGAGATTTTTCAAAAGAAAGGGAATATGGATGGAGAGAGAGGTTGTGGAGAGGTTACATTACAGAAGTTATTGCCTTTGAAATTGGGCCTCCATCATTCTAGACTTGCTTGCTTTGTTGTAAATTAGAAGAAGAAACCAGAGGGAGATGTGCCAAGTCAACATTTGAACGACTGTTTAGAATACAGTTTTCTTAATTAGCGATCATGGGGAAAACATACATTTTTAATTTGGAATGAAACTTGACAGTTAACTTGGTTCTGTTTACCTTGATTGGTGAACTAATTTGCTGCAGTTTTCCAGAGGTGCAGAATTATTTGGGGCTCAAAATAAACTGAAAACATAACTCCCCAAACCAAATTTAACAAAGAGAATTGGCTGTTAGAGGCTTATAGGCTAAAATATCAGTTTTGAAATTAATCTTGGCTACTAGCCACCTTAGCTAGGTTTTCTCTATGGACTTGAGTATTGAGCACTTCCCAGATGATCAGAGATTACTCTGGACTGTTGGGGATGACAGAGAAATGCAATGGAGGAGCCTAGGTAGGGGTGAGGGTAAAATTGTGTCTTCTGTCAATCGTCCTGTTTCTGTTTGTGATCTGTTTCTTTTTTCTGAGTCCCTTTGTGAACCAGGTGCTAACAATAAGCTGCTATTGTGTGCCATTTCAGAGCCTTAGCTTAACTATAGAGGGACCAAGTATCATTTTAGATGTGTTTTGTCTATGTTCTTGGTGTATATATTGACTTTAATTCCCTTTTTTTTCCTTTCCTGTTAAGGGGTGGAGGTTAATTCTAAGAAAGATGTCCAGGCCCAACTACCTCACTCTCTGGGGTAGCTTCCGACTGGGGACAGGGAGTTTCCATCCAATACTCCCTTCTGGGCATACAGAGTCCCTACTATTTTGGGTAACTGTGTAGAGGTTTTTCATTATTCTCTTTCTGTAGGAAGCTATCATTCTCACCCAGGAAAATCTCTAATACAGCCCAAGTCATTTTTGGTGATGCGGTCTCTGACACAGGGAGTTAAAGGAAAGGTTAGGGTAGGGAGAGAGAAGGAAATGTCTGGAAAGTGGTGAGTAGCAAAAAGGTATTTGTATTTATTTACTTGGAATAGACCTTATAGCATCTCAGAGAAGGGAAATAGGGTTTGATCTCCAGTTTTATTGCCATAGAGAGAATGGTAGGTCAGGATCACCTGAAGTAGTCAGAAGTTAAATATTAAATGCATATCTTTCTGGATCAGCCAGAAAGTTGGGAAAATGTTGCTAATCTTCTGGGTTAGGGAATTCCAACTGGCTTTTGGTAAGGTTGAATTACAGAGAATCAAATAACAGACAAGTGGTTCAGAGTTGGTACTTGAGCAGGAGAAACCTGGAGCCTAGGATGGTTGCCTAGTTTAAAATAAAGCTGCTCTGAAAAAAAAAAAAATCTGCTTTAACAATATCAGTATTAATATAGGAATTTTAGACTCTACATTTGCATTTTGGTCTTAAGCCTTCCCCAAAAAAAGAGAAAGAAAGAAATCTTCATATATCTGTTCTTGTTCCTGGCTTCAGGGAAATTACTTATAAATGTGTAAATGTACATTCCCTTCCTATCACTACCTCTGTGGGATCTCGTAATTGTAATGCCAGAGTTGAGGTCTCTTAATTGAAATAAGGGAGGAATTGGCTTTAGGTTTTCTATATTTTGAACTCAGTGCCTTAAAAGATGTCCTTTTTCTCTCTCAGATCTGTGTGTAGTTATTTTTTGTTTTGCCTTCCCCTTTCTTCAACCTTACCATTGCATTATTAAAATTTTTGGGTCTGCTCAGTAATATTAGAAATCTATGGCATACAAAATGACTTTATTTCTTGGTATTGATGTAAAAGAAATGAATTGACCAGAGGGCTTTCCTATTGAAGTTAGGTAGTATGTGACCAGGACATTTTTAATACTCCTTTGCTGGATGTATCTCAGAGCATACATTTATAAACACACAGGGATTTTCCCACTTTTCTCTTTGTTTATTTGAGGTTCAACTCTAAAGTACCTGGTATAACCTGGAAATATTTTTATTTCATTAAACACATGATAGAGGGTTTCTTTGGATTCACTAAAGGGGCTGAGGAAGAAAAAGCATTACTTTGGCCCTTTTCTGAGCGTGTGCTCTAAGAAGCAGTAAAGAGAAACCTGAGGAGTGAGTCTCCAGGGAGAGCCAGTACCTGGCTTTACAGAGATTTGTTTAGCATATAGGGTGATGACACCATGTAGACTGAAAGATTCAGAGCAGTGTTGGAGTAGAAAAGGAGCTGCCTTTCCACAGAGCAAGCCTCATTCCCACGCCTATGGCAGCTCTTTTGACTGGCGCTTGTAAAATCTCTTACACCTCTGAACAGGAGAGAAACCCTAGATAAAGGCCCACGGAGGAAGGAGCAGACATTCTGTGTATCTACTTTCCCAGTTTAGAAATATCATCCTTTTGAAAAATGATTATTTTGAGAAAGCTCTTAACAAACAACATTATGGACCTCCATAGCTAGAAGATTTGAAGCATATAGGAAACTCTTCCCAGAAGTTTGAGTAAGAATCAGTTTTTGTCCAAATTTATTGGAGGATGGCCTCCTATTCTCTACTCCTTGTGCAGACATCTCTGTATGGCCAAAAAAGAAGCTTTAGAATGGAATACATGTCAAGAGCACCTGTATGCTGCTCTAAGCTCTTATCTGTCTCCATTTTATGTGATGAATATTTTCCCCTTCTGAGTTAGTACTCTATTTCCTATGCCAATATATTTAACAAGAGACTAGGAGCAAGAAGGATATGAATTTGAATTAAGTAACTCTGAGCCTCTGGTGCTGCCTTTGTTTGTTTTGTTTTGAGCATCTCTAGGATTAGGGGGTGGGGTGACATTCCCAGACTCTACAGTAGCAATTTGGCTTGTTAATGGCAGGAAATTGTGATTCCCTATCTCTCTCTCCTCCCTTTCCCCTCTAACTACTTCTGCTTCTGTAACCCCATTGTTTTTTTCTCACTGAGTCTTTCCCAGGCACTAGAGTTTAATTAGTAGGTCATTTCTAATCTATGGGCCTTGTCTTTCCTCTTTCCACTCTCCTCTTTCCCTACTACTTATTTTGTTTATTCTGAAGTGGTTTGTTTCTGAGAATTAATCTAGGTTACACCCTGTATCGTGTGCTTCTTAGTTGGTTTCAGGCATCTTACTCTATCAACAATAATGATAGCAGGTCCCTTCTCTGGCCTGTGTACTATCCCTCTGCCAAGGCCATTTGTGTTGGCGGAGAGGAGAGTGGGTGGGGTGCCTAGGTTCTTCGCAAAATGTCCTCAGTTTTTCAGGTTGTCTGACAGCTTTATGTACAGTATGTTTTAGGAAAACTTAAATATACTTCTTTTTATTTAGGATTTTAATAAAATAGGATTTGATTCTGATGAACAAGTTTGTGTGTATGTGTGTTGGGGGTATTTGTGTGTATATACACCTATACAGATCTATATTATATATACAGTTTTTGTACTATCATTTAAAATAAAGATGTTTCTTAATAAAATGTCAAAGTCTTATCATTTCAGGGTGTCATTGAAATTTTTTCCATCTCCTGGGCAAAAATTGTATCTACTCCCTGATCACAGATAAACCTCAATGGCAAGTTTTCCCTGTCTAAATGATCTAATGTGGGTGGAGTGGGGGGAGGGTGTTGGGGAGGCCCTTCTTTCCCCTGTTGGGGTCTCTTCCAACCCATTCACACCTATGCCTTTTCCTTATGTAGCCACTCCTCAGCTGGTATTCTTTTTTTTTTTTTTTTTTAAGATTTTATTTTTCCCTTTTCTCCCCGAAGACCCCCGGTACATAGTCGTATATTTTTAGCTGTGAGTCCTTCTAGTTATGGCATGTGGGATGCCGCCTCCTCATGGCCTGATCAGTGGTGCCATGTCCGCGCCCAGGACCCAAACTGGCAACTTGCTCTGCCTGTTAAGAATACCAGCTGAGGGGGCCACCCCGTGGCCGAGCAGTTAAGTTCATGCGCTCCGCTTCGGCAGCCAGTTTGTCTTTCCTTCTAGATTACTCTTCTCCCTCTCCTCCCTCCTGTTTCTTAATCTCTATCCCTGAAGGTTAACCTGGATGGATTTCATCAATGGACTCCCTATGCTTTGGCTTCCCTTAGATTCAGCCAATAGGGAGCACTGGCAGGAGACTGGAAGGAGAGAAAAGACTGAGGTTTGTGTATTGATTTCCCAGGTTTCCTCCCTTGGGGTTACTTGGGCCTAGCTGTATCCTTTGATTAAAAGTCATTACTCCTCTCAATGCAATCTCTCCTTCAGATCCCAGTAACCACTACCTCCCTTTGTCCTATCAGGCCTAAGGCTGTTACTAGCCTCCAGTTACTACCTATCCCTTGCCCACACTTTTTAAAAATAGCTCTTCATTATTTTGAGCATGTCATCTATTTCCTGTTGGGACCCTGTCTAATACACCTGGTAAAGGTAGGTGATCTTTTGGATTCATAGACTTCATATTTTATCCATGTACTTGAACCTTACTTATACCTGTAACCTGAAATTCTTATGAGCCAACAGTTCTGAAGGGTCAACAGTTCTGAAGGGTGAACTGCTAGATTCAGTTGCAGAGAGTGATTTATACCTGTGTGGTTCCCAAGTGTGGGGTTTGGGATCAAGGAGACAAATCCGAGAGATAATAATAGCTCAAGCCCCTGTGACTTAGCTCCCAAAGAACCCAAGATGCTGAACAGCTTTTCAAGCTTCGTGACTGTGGAACCTTCTGTGTTTCAGGTCCCCAAAGCCTTACACAAGCTGATGGACTTGGCCTACTGGGGCCCTGGTTTCTCCATAACGTCCCAGGATGCCTCTGAGAAATCAGCTTAGAAATCCCTTAGGATGACAACTTCATCTTCTTGTTGGCACATTCTGGTTTTTCTAAAGACAAAGTTTGAGCTAATATCCTACTTTTAAAGACTATCCACGGATTCCTTAATTGAGGTCATGTTTATCCCTCTGTTGTCAGTGATAATTTCTTTGAATTCATCCCCTTATTATTCACTACTCTCTGTCAGAGGTATTTCATGAGTATTAATGAATTGCATACTTGGTGGTAGTCTATTTTGGGCAAATAATTGTTTCCCACAAAGCGCTTAATTTAAACCTATATATTTATATGGTGCTTTATAAATCCTGTTGGTATATGTTCTTTCCATATTTTACAAAAAAAATTGAGGCTCAGAGAGGTTAATTGAATTGCCAAGGTCATACACAAAACTACTAAGTGGCAGAGTCCAAGGACTGTTGCTCTCACTGCGATGTAGTTGGTGTCACCAACCCTGAAAATTCTGAGAGTCCAGCGTAGGCACTCTTGGCTAGAGAAGTCACCATACCTTATAAATACTAATAAATCAACACCCTTCACAATTAAACTGAAACCAGGACTTTAACTTGTAAATTGCTGCTGCCTGCAAGGAGTCACAGGGTTAAATTCCTTTGTACTTCTCTTTGGAGTCTATAGTTAAACCTCAGGATCATTTTCCCCTTTCCTTGTGACCACCTTCAGGCAAGACCTTAAGTATTTGTGAGACTTGTCCCTCAAAGGGCTGTGAAAGGCTGTAGCCTTAGAATTTTTCTTTGTCTTGGCTTCAATACCTTGGTTTGAAGAGGATAATGAAGTCAGATGATTGGAAAGATTCTCCACTCCTTCCTTGCTGTCCTCTACTATCCAGGACTCTAGCAATGGCTTCAAAGCATCTTGGTTTAAGTAAGGCTCCATTGAGTGAAAAACTGAGACCTAGGGGCCTGCCCCTGACAGAGTGGTTAAGTTCCCGTGCTTGTGCTCAGCTTGAGCCGTCTAGGGTTCCACTGGTTCGCATCTTGGGCGTGGACATAGCACCACTCATCAGGCCATACTGAGGTGGCATCCCACATAGCACAACCAGAAGGACCCACAACTAGAATATACAACTATATACTGGGGGGCTTTGGGGAGAAGTGGAGGGGGCGTGGAGAAGAAGATTGGCAACAGTTAGCTCAGGCGCCAATCTTTGAAAATAAATAAATAAATGAAACAAACTGAGACCAGGACCTCTCCAAGCCAGTGAATCAAGCTCCAAGCAGCAAGAGGGCAGACTCTTGGACGACAACCAAATCTGCCGAACAAGCTAACTGAGGTGTGAGTAATGTTCAGAGGGCATTTAAAAACGTTGAGGGTAAAATCTATAAATGAAGGTTGTAAGGATACAAAGGGAAAGGGATGCTTAGCAGAAGCAGATCGCAAAGTTAGGAATAGCCTAAGTGTAAGTTTGGAGGAAGCACTATCTCACAGGGTTCCATGCTTTCTCCTTTAGAAAGCGTTCTTACATACGTTATCGTACTTGAGCCTCTCAACGCCATTTTTCAGATGAAGAAACGGAGGCTTAGGGCAGAGCTTTGACTTGTCGGGATCACAAGTAATAAAGAGCGAAGCCAGAAACAATCTCGGGGTCTTCGCCAAATTGTTCTCAGCAGTTTCCCGCCCAAGGTATTTAGGCTGCGAAGGGGAAAGGGACCTGCAAGGCTTCCGTAGCTGCAGAGCTCGGTCGGGTCTCCAGGGGGCGCGAGCGGGAGGGCGGCCTAGAGCTCCAACTAGGCGGTTACTCCCGCCAAGCCCCAACAAAATACCCGACTTGTAAATCCGCAAAGTCAGCCACCACCCGCGCGAGGCCTTAAGTGTTCTTAGCGCGAGGCAGTGGG